ATACTAGGAGAAGGGATGGGGAAGTGGTTGCTGGTGTTTAAAAATAATGGGCAAATTTCTGTCGACGGGTGTAATATTATTTTATTACCGCGATTGGGCAAGAACCGCGCGCTAGTCACGTTCGTTGCACGTGTGGTACACCCGGTAAGGGTCTTGGTGGAAGAAATCCGTGCCGGAGTGTTCGGTACACGCACAATGTGTTCATATGTCAGTGTACACGATGCTTGTTGGGATCGGATAGTGGAGGCGGCGGCGGCCAACAGAAAAACCGGTCGATGCAGCTGCTCTTGCTGTTGCTTCGGCTGTCACCCATTGACGACGACGACGGTGGAGCTCGGCGGCGGCGGTGGCGGCCATGCGTTGCGTGTATTTTATTATATGCCTATACGACGTTTGTTCGTTAGTTATGGTAGAGCGAAGAAGGGTGGGCAACTGCCGCCGCTGTGGCACCGACCGACCGTGTGGCGGCCGTCGGGGAACACGACCAAAAAAAAAAATTAAAAATCTCCTCCGGGCAAGGTGGAACGAAAATAGCAGCGATAATATTATGCCCTTTTTGTCGTGTTCGTCGACGGGTGGTGGTGGTGGTGGGAGGAGGGGGCGCACCAGGAAACCCAAAACCGCAATACGACGACGACGACGCTGCGTCGTACGGACGGAAGAATCCTCCGGTGCGCCGCTGCTGGTACGGCTGCTGCGATCACCGATGACATTCGACACCTACACTAACGTTGGTGTGGAATTCGAGTGTCGTTTCTTCGCGCCCGGGGTATCGGATTTAACGGCGGGTGTCGCCTTTTGGGGTACACACTTGTCGCGTTCGAACAGAAACACATAAAATGAACGTTTACAAATTTTCTTTCTTTCTTGTATATTATAATAACATAAGCCCTCGTGTTATTCCTGACAAGTATCTGTGTTAATCAGTTTTTGTTGAAACACTCGTTTGTAAGCCTAATACCATTATATCCTTGCTGCTATATTTCTAGCTTAAGCTTATTCATAATTAAGACTATAGTTAAGTTTATTACGATTTTGCGAAAAATTGCCATTAAACTTTACTTTGTGATAAATTAATTTATGAAAATAAATTTATAAAAACAATATTTTTTTTTTTTGACAAACTCAAATTATTTTAACCACGTTTTTAATGTGACTGAAAACTCATAATTATATTTTATGCCTCGGTATATCTGTATACATGATTTTTGTTATTTTCTCAAAAATATTATTAATCTTGTGATTTTATTTAATAATCGTTCTTTTGGTATCTATTTAAATGTCGCCAGTTTTGCGCAATTTTCGATTACAACAATTTTTCCAACAGAATAGCTATATTTTTCCAAAAAAACTCCTTATTTTTTTTTTAAATCATTTGATGCAGTTATCGTCATCTCGTTTGGTGTAAAACACACATGTACACTGCTCCTATACAATTACCGAATTATTACCAAAAGGTTAGATGGGTAATACTAAGGACCGTGCGCCGGGCTATAATAAAATTATTTATAATTACAGGTGTTGGCTGTATTATTGTCGTATAAAACATTCGAGTACTCGGAAGGTAGCGTTTAGGTATATAATATATCTATGTATTGCTTAATGCGTTGGCCTATTATTATTATTATTGTTATTCTGTTACGTTTAAGTAAAAGGCGTTTAGGGGCGTGCCTCCGGTAAATTAAAAAAAAATCGTATAATATAACTCTGGGACGGTCTAAAAGGCTGATGAAATAATTTGGCGGCAAAGTAAAAATGGCTTATGTGTGGTTAGGGCTATTGAAATGCAAAAAAAAAACAAAAACAAATTTTCATAGATCATAGACATTAGAGTAACCTATAGGCGCAATATTATTCAGATTTTTTTTGATTTTATTTATTTAAGATAATATTTACAGTCACTACAATATGTATAGTATAATAAGTAAATGAGTTGATAATAACAATAAGAAAGTACATAGCTTGAATGGCTTTGATGAGGGAGTGATCCGTTGGCCACACCTCTTAGTCAGTATTATCCAGATTTATAGTATAATATATAATAAATGTATATATTATACATACAAACGCATCTCCGACAAATAATCTTGAATGGGTCGCAGAAGTATAGCAGGAAGCGCATTTTGTGTGTGTGTATACTGTGTAGTTACTTGGAAGCGTTTAAAACCCGTACATTATATTTTATAATAATAATAATACCGACAAAACGCGCACACTACCCGGAGGCCGTTTTTGTCGTGTATACTGCGTATTTTGTGTTATACATTATTATATGTATACAGAGAAAAAAACATACCCCCGCCAGACACACCCAACATCTTTAATGTGGTGGTGCCCGGAAAGCAATAAAACGAGTAAAACGTCTAAAAACGAAAATGGGATCCAAACGTCGCCGCCCACCATAGGATTTAATTAGTCCCCGGAGGACGACGGTCAGGTTTAGGTTAATGCGTTGTAGACAAAATATTATCATCAAACAAAATATATCTCATCGAAGCTACTAAACTCTGTAATCAATTTAAACCTGAAGACGCTATATTTCTCTTAGTCCTTAGATGAGGTAAACAAAAACCGTGACGTCACATGACTGAATATGAAATCGGTATGACCACGGATTCAAGTATAAAATTTCATAATAGTATCTAGAAAGAAATTGCCTAATCTGTGATAATGCAGTCAGTAAGTTATCATTTAATTGTTATGATTGATAAGAAGTTTGTACAATAAATATATTGTAAAATATCTGCACAGTAATTTATACTGGTTCATGCGGCGGCTACACTGGTATCTCCTCTCGACTGATTAGGTAGTCTTTTTTAAAAATGTCTTTTGTTTTCGGTCGGACTATATTCTGTTTTCATATAGTCTATGATTTTATATTATAATATTTTTTAGGCGACTGCGGGGCATTAAAGTCTCTACATGTTTCTCTCATTCGGCCAAGGCGATTTCTAACCGATTAATAATAATTAAACGCCGCCGCCGCTGCCGTCTTTCAACCCCGTCGACGCCCACCGGCATATAAATCATAAATTATAATAAAATAAATTATGTAAATGTACCTAACGCGTTTCACATAGCATATAAAAGCACGTATTATACATGTCATAAAATAATAATAATAATAATTTTAATATAGGATAGTTCTTAAACGGTATTTTTTTTTCTTTCCAAAAGGTGTGACAGATTTTGTTGTGTGTGCATCAGCTTGACGTTGGTATTATATTATACGAAAGAGGTTTTTAAAAATCTCTCCACACTGCCTACACGGGTTTTTATTATTATTATTATTGTATATGTAAAAGGGGTTAGTCGGATTGACCCGCCGCCGACGCGTTAGTATCCATTTTGAATTTTGTGCTTCCAAGATGCAATATATATGCATACATATAAAAACCTTTATACACGGGTCTTTGTGTGTCTTTACCTGTGCACCAGCTCCTATCCTATATACCTACCCGTCTATAGTGCAGGTGGGCCCCTTCTCTTCTCTTATGATTTTCTTCTTTTATACGATGTTTCATATTTTATACGGCGGCGACCCCTGACGAGGGGATGTGTGGGGGCAGCAGGTGTTTTATTATATTTTATATTATATTATTATTATTATTTGATGAAACTGCAATATAATATAACAGGCGAGGCGAGAGAGGTCACTGAAGAGAGAGACGCGCATTTGAATCCCTCAGAAAACTGCATCTCATCGTTCGATTGTAATTTATAATATAATATATAATATTTAACAATGGTTACGACGTAGGAGATAAAACTTAAACCGTATTTTAGGTTTATAGCTTCTCTAGACGGATTTATTATTATTATTATTACAATTGTACGTATTTTATACTGATATGACCGATCGGCTGTTGAGGTTGTGCCATGTTGACACGCCACCTGTTGTAGCAAGGAGACGAAATAATAATAATTATTATCATTGTACAAAACCATAGTCCATAATATATTTAAAAATATAACGCACTTTGTGGAGGAAAATGGTTTTGGTCCTCTTCTGTGGTTGAATATTATATTTATTTGTATGCGAAGAGTGAACAGTTTCAAAAAACGTTCAGGAAAAAAAATACGTTTTAACGACAAAATATATAATGTATATTATATGGGAAAAGGCGGCTTCGGTTGAATGTAGGTTCGGATGAATTTTAATGAGTTACATCTCGGCTACCGGTTTTTATTGCTCCTTTGTCCTAAAACTGGTGGCGCCGACACTGTAATATAATATTATAGGAAAAATGCGGCTAGTTTATTTTTTTATATATACCATCTACTATCGATCGATTCGGAGCAGAATCTGGATATATTATTTTTTTTAACACGTTCCACTCGTCTGTCGATTATTTAACGCCAACAGGATTACGACAGGAACAACGCAACGGGGTCGTTGATAACATTTCTTAGAATTCGTTGAGATTTTTATTTATTTCCCGGATTGAGCGGAAAGTTTTTTTCTGCATTTGCCTTTTTTGAAATAATCATATACAGTCATATACTTGTGTGTGTGTGTGTGTGTAACTAAATTATAAAAAAAAATATTTTTTACATATTTTGTCTTGTACGTAGGCTTAGGAGGTTAGGTAAAGAGTAAAATGTATTGGATGATTTTTTTTTTCTTAGAAAACTCCAGGTGAATAACTGTCTGAATAAAAACAAATTTATTATTATTATAGGGATGAAAATTCAGTATAATACTATTGTATGCACTTGCCGTTATAAAAATTCTTTTGAAAACGAAAAAGTTTTTATATATTTATATGTATATATATATAAATATATATATTTTTTAATAACAGTAATTTTTACTGACAAAGTTATTTATTATAACATTAAACAAAAAAATACACAAGCCTAGGGGAAAACAAATTAAAAAATCGTTTGGGAATGTAACTGGTAAACTTTTTGTTTAAACACGAGACATAAAGAAGGATTTAAATTAAACATTTATATATTTTTTTTTACATATTTTTAATGATTTGTTTTGTTTTTAGTGCGTGGCCTAACCTGTTATTGCGAACACCAGTGTCCCAATGGTCAACCAAATGGCACTTGTGTCACTTCACACAAGTCGCAGTGCTTCAGTGCTGTCCAAGAAGAATATAATGAAGACACTGGCGAGTACGAGCCGGTGGCATCGTATGGTTGTCTAGCGGCCGGCGAACAAGGCTTCTTACAAGTAATTGAGAACTATCAATATAAAGCTATAAATATATAAATATTATATTGTATTAATGGCGGTGTTTTTATCTACTTTTCAGTGTAAAGGCGGCAACTCGTTGTACGGTTTGGCGATCCAGTGCTGTAACACCGACATGTGCAACAAAGAGATTCACCCGATTTACACACCTCACACAACAACACCTCCGCCGCCCAAAATCCACTTTAATTCCATACCGTATATAGCGTTCATGCTGTCGATGGTCATTTGTTTACTGGTGTCGGCAATCGTCATCGGCTGGGTTTACATACGGTACAGAAGAAGGGAAAAAAACAGGTTGTACGCATTGGCGTCCACTGACAGTTACATGTCCGGCAACAGCAATTTGTTGCAAACGCTTATCGGACACTCGTCGGGATCTGGTTCCGGCATCCCATTACTTGTAAGCAAAACAAATTGATTTATTGCCAAAAGCCTGTACGATTAATAATTTGTGTATTGTTGTGTGCGTTCTAGGTACAAAGAACGATAGCCAAACAAATTAGAATAGAACGACAAATCGGCGAGGGTCGATTTGGCAAAGTGTGCTTGGCCAACTGGCGGGGTGAGCACGTGGCTGTGAAAATCTTCACGACCATAAACGATCAGAGCTGGCTACGAGAAACTGAAATATATCAAACGGTTCTACTGAGACATGAGAATATTTTAGGTAAAATGTCTAACGACAGATCTGTTATTTATAAATTATTTAATCATAAATCACGATTAACCGTGTGTATTTTTTTGTTTTAAAGGATTCATTGCGGCCGACCTGAAAGTAAGTGCCGGAGGCGCTCAAATGATGCTGATCACCGAGTACCATAAGCGTGGATCGTTACACGATTTCCTAAAAGAAAACACAATCGATGCTGCTCAGCTGGTTGTCATGGTACGTTCCATTGCGAGCGGCCTGGCCCATTTACACGAGCCGATAAACGGTACCCATGGGAAACCCTGCATTGCCCACAGGGATATCAAGTCGAGAAATATTTTGGTCAAGACTGACGGCGAGTGTTGTATTGCCGATTTCGCTTTAGCTGTCCGATATGACAGGTAAATGTTCCTTATCGATTATTACAGGTCAATGTAGATATAAAAGTGTTATTTCGCTTCAATGTTTTTCTTATTGTTATTGTCGTTACTTTTTTTTAGCCGAAGAAATGAAATTGACATCGCTCCCAATTCGAGAGTGGGCACTAGGAGGTACATGGCTCCTGAAGTTGTTAGCGATGCCATCGATGTAACGTCGTTTAGCGCGTTCAAAGCGGCCGACATGTACTCAACAAGTTTAGTATTCTGGGAGTTGTGCAGAAGATGCCGACAAGGTTGGCCTGTAGGCGGTTCACCCATGTTACAAGCCGAAGAGTACATGTTGCCTTATAGCAATCTGGTTGGCCCCGACCCATCCGTAGAAGACATGCGACTGGTACTGATGGTACAAGGAGCAAGACCGGATATACCCATGAGATGGAGATGTGATCATGTAAGTTCATTGTATAATTTTTTTGCAACTGTAGTTATTAATTAATATTTGGTTTTTTATTAAACAGAGGTTGAGAGTAATATCGGAAATCATTCAAGAGTGTTGGCATCAAAATCCAAGTGTTCGATTACCTGCATTGAGAGTGATGAAGACGCTGCGTAAATTGGAAGATAGCGAAACCGTGGAAAACGGAATCCATCACGTCTAAATGTCAAAATAAGGCAGCGTGTGTAATTTTTAGCGCCGTTTTTAAGACGACATACAGGATTATATTATTATATTTTACTCCAAGACTGCGTAGATAGAATTAATTTTAAATGTTATTATTATTATTAACTTAGAAAACGAACAACAAATTGTTCAAGTCGAGTTAATGAAACGTACTTACTTAACTCCTTATGTATAAAAATATTATGTGCCATTTGTATTATCGCAGTGTAGTCGATTTTATATTTTGTTTAAAATTATTCTTGTAGAATTTTTTCTCTCGTGTATGATGGCCAGATATAATTGAATAATTTTACGACGGTTTCGATTCAATCTTAACATAATCAAACGTTCGTTTACTTCCTGCCCCTACCCCCCTTATTTATAACTATCACAAAATAGTACAAAACAACATGTACGACAAAATTGTACACGTGATGTCTGTTTTTTTGTTTTTACCGTACGAGAGCAATTTCATATATTGTTTAGGTAGCCGATATCATTTAAAAAAAACATTTTTTTTTTTAACCATTACCTATACATCACTTGTGTGTGCTCTCTCGCTAACATTTATTTATTTTTCAAGTATTTACATGATAATGTTGTGTTTGTGTGTTTGTTTTTCCAATGTAAATAATATATTCAACACAATATTATGTTTTTATAATTTTTTTACTATTTTTTGAGTTGTGTAAAATAATTATATAAATATATATATTGTCGACAACGACTGTTGTTTATTTATTACACAATTATATATTGTTTTAGAAAATTGTTGTATTTTTTTTATCAAATGTATACTTAATCTATGAGTCAACTCCCAAAGTGTATGTACTGTGTATAATATATATAGTGTATAATATGATATTCTATAATGTTTGGTTTATTATTATTATTTTTTTTTTTAATTCATGTTTTAAGACTAGCGTGTGTTCTGAAGAGTAACAATTCGTTTTATAAACTAAAGAAAATAATAAAATAAAATGTGTTACTCTCGAAATACTCGCGCATCATTTTGTTTAAATACAAATAATAAAAATGTATATATTTTTTTATTATGACTTGGGTTTTTTTTTTTTTTTGTTATGTTAGATTAACGCTAAAATGTTTATCCTAAATTTTTATTGCGATAATATTGTCCCGGCAAAAATGTTGAACAACCCAAAAACAAACATAATAACAACTCGCTGAAATACCTTATATTACGGTAAGTGTGTTAGGATGCAAGTATTGGGATTTTTAAACATTATGCGCCGTACGTAGTAGGTATAATGTAGATGAGCCGTTCCCTATATTGCCTGCATTCGAAAAAGTTTGCACTTTTCGGTTTGACCATAGCCATCAACAAAAAAATTGTACGTTGCACAGTTATGTTTTAATAACTTGCTTCTATAATTAGTCTTTATTTGTAAAAAAGTTGACGCTTTCCATTCCCCTTAATGGGATTGCATGCGGTCGGTTTTTAAGGAGTTTTGTATTGGCAATATTTAAGACAAAAGAGGTTTTAATAAGTAAAAGTTATTTTGATTTATTTTAGACAGTGGCGTAGCTACCGTGGGTGCATTTTATTTTAAGGTGTTTTTGTACAGTTTACTATACACGTTAACATGTAATTAAGGGAGCAAAAAAAAATGTCTTGCTCCTGTCGCTTTAGTCTCTAGTTATGCCACTGATTTTAGACCAAGATGGTTCAATTTAAATTCTGTAAAGAAATTCGAGTTCTTTGGCTAATTTACCAAATGTTATGTAGAGAGCCGATGTTCATTGGAAAATTTCAGTTTCTTGTAATTTAAAGAAATTAAATTTGCAATTTTTTCAATATTAAAACTCAGTTTTTTTTTTACATGAAAAAAAGCTAAAAATCTAAAACCTGTTTCCTACATAAACCAGTAAAGTTGCCAAAGAACTCGTATGTCTTAACAAAATTGAAATCGGACCAACCTAAGTAGTCGACATTTTGTCTGGCATTTTGGTCTAAAACAGACTGCGCGTAATCCCCGCAAGGTAGCTTACCAATAATTATCGTATACGTATAGGTTCTTTTTTTTTCTATAGTGGCTGCACTGAATATCGCATCCTTATCTGAATAGCACTTCTCTCCGCTGCTTATCAGAGTGATAAGCCATTATTCGTTTATTTTGTATTTTTTTTTTCTTTTGTTATTGTTTCGACGAGCGAGCAACAGCGCTATCAGACACGAGCGTTTGTCGAGCAAAACTCCATGGCAAAACTCGACAAGACATAACCTCAAAAAAATAATAATGTGCGAAACTGAAATCACGCAAACTATAACTGCACAGGCACAGTCCAGCCGAAACTTGAACGTTGCTTGTTGACTTTTCGTAGTGTGTCTTATTTAAATTTTTTTCCAAATTTTGGATTTTCTCGGCAGTTTTTTTTTTAACTACCAAATATTTTACGAAAATTGTTTATATTTACTATAATAACTAATGTATTTTTATTAATATATATTTTTTTTTATTAACTTGCACAATATTAATCTTACTGCGTTTATAATTCGTGAGTATAGATATTATGTTATATATATATATATAAAATTTCAAAATTAATAACCGGATTTTGTCGACGGTTTTTGTATTCTATAGGCACTCTACCCGTAATAATTTTTGAAAATAATTTAACAGACATTTTTTGTGAAGTCCACCATGGAGCAAAGCGTCGGTGAGCTGACGAACACACTCCGCAAATGGGAAGAAGATATTCTCGGACCGGCCTATAATCCTATACCGACATTGATCAAGTAAGCAAACGCTTCATTCGTTTAGACATTCATCTCTTATACCCCAAACCCAACTGTTGGTGTTATCTCTGGCCAAGTATATTGCATAAAAACAAAAATACGACTTAATTCCACTATTACCTTGCACTCGGATAAAAAATAATTGAATCAAACGAAATTATAAATTGTTACTGATCAAATACATTAGGTACTAACTATACTGATAAATCATAATATAATTTACAAAATTGTTTATTTAAAATAAATTGTCTAATGTGAATAGGTATGTAGTATAAATTTTAATAGGAACTTATAAACTGGCAATAGGTTTTGAAGAAAAATATATTTTATACCTATAAGTCGCCTTTATTTTGTACACATTTATAAGAACTATCTTAAAAGTATAATATACCTAAATGTTAAAATATTTTTTATTTTTTACTTTAAGACTTTAAAATCAACTTTTTGAGAATGTATCAACCCGTCACTGGTTGTGTGGAATAATCAATCTCCCAGTTTATTTTTAGATCAATATAATTACATTATTAGTAATGTGACAATGTGATTTACAGTATTGATTTCATATTTATATAGAGATTTTAATTAATTTTTTATGTAAGTAAAAGTTATTACTCTTTTAATTTTATTGTGGTAAATTTATGATTTAAGGTTATCTGAAATGATTGAAGCAGAAACAATTAATTATATTAAAAAAGATCCCGATCCCTTTGACGATCGCCATCCATCTCGAGTCGATCCTGCCTGCGCTCTCGGACAAATGTTTAAGATTCTGTTTCGCAAGGATAACTTCATGACAATGGTAAATGTTGATCATTATTTATTAATGTAATTGTTTTAAAAATTACGTTTTATTATATACATTTTTTCTTAGCTGGTAAATGATTATTTAAAAGAAAATTTTTGGCCCCGGCGGCCCAAAGACAATAGAGATTTAAATGTTGCAGCTTGTAGGCTGATGAATAATATTTTACCTGGCTTAGAAACAACTGTTGTTTTTGAAAGTGTAAGTATCATTATGATTTACTTGACTTAAAAGTTTTTATTTTTAATCACATTTCATCAATTGTGTAGCCTACAAATGACTTTCTCATCAAACGACTTTTTTCGTGGGCAGAAAAAAGTTTTGAACCATTGCAAACATATGCGACCGGATTACTAGCTTCTGCCATGGAAATACAAGACATAGCTGCTAGTTTCAGGTGAAATAATATAGTTGTTTTCTTAACAATTAATGTGTTCTAACCAAAAGTTTTTGTTATTGTTTACAGAGAACCAAATAATAAGCTTGTACCTTTAATGTTAGATCGTCTTCAATCATTGTACTCACAATTTTGTGAAGAAAACGAAATGAATGAAAACACAAATCCCTTCTCTCATTTGAACAATGATTCTATGATACATGAAAATAGCACAACCAAACAATCACCGAGAAAAAAAGGTACTTAAAAAAATATATATCAGTCGACAAAATAGCTGGTGAACCAATTGAACAAGTCGACTAGTTTAAAATTCTATCTAGACCTTTATCCATATAAATAAACCTTCTTATTTACTATTTTTTAATTATATATAGCAAGATATAAAACTGCTAGTGCTCTGAATGCAGAAACATTGGATGGTATTATTGGCGATTCCAACCAGCAATTAAAAACTAGTCCAGAGGATATTGCTGTTGTGACGAGTATGTTATTTTTTAAAATATTTCTATATATTTAACCAAATTAATATAATACACATTACACTAATCCGTTTTAACAATTCGGTTTATATGGAAGGATTAAAAATGTAGAACTAAATTAAAAAAATATCAATTATGTTTTTGACATCCATTACCTTTATAATTATACCATTTATACACTAATTATTATTTATTACTTATAAATCTAATTTGGATTTTACTTCACAATAACCGTTTATATGCATTTCAAACACAGAGTTACTAATTCGGTTTAAGCCTAACGGTTTTCTATTAGTCCAGATTAACAGCCATTTATATTCTCTTAACTCCGGGAACTAGCTAATTTAGATTAACATTCATTATTTTCTTATGATAATTAAACATAACATACCTATACATGATAGACTATTAACCTAAATTTTTAAAAAAAAAATTTTATTGAAAATTGGTTAGTATGACAATTAAAACGTCCACTTTTTACTAATGTTGTTATTAACAGTTTACACTGTATTAAGATTATTATTTTTAAATACTTAATATCTTTTCGGGTTTTAGAGGAAAATGGCATCTGTGGAGATAGTAGTTCGTCTTGGATGGGTTCTGAACCTTATGCGAGTAATTGGGTACAAATTTATCCACCGACTTTAATCACAAAACAAGTTTTCATTCTCAAGTATTTGACTCCCACTGGAGAATACCAAGAGGTAATCGAACATTTTTCTAACATTCAATTTTATCAAAAAATAATTTGTTTAATTATATTTACCTATAAATGTTTGATATTATAGTTTTTAAGTCACGCGTTTGAGAAAAATGCTCTCACACTGGTCATGAAACTAATAAATACAGCCGACAGGCAGAACGGCTATTTAACTTTTGAGGCCCTCAAATACTTGGCAGCATTACTATGTCACAAAAAATTTGCTACTGAGTTTGTCAGCTTACAAGGTTTACAGGTATGTATTCATATAAATTACAACAATATTATCAACTAGTTAAAGCTTTTCATGGATGGATTAATGTATTATTTTGTATTTTTAGCTTCGATGTCAAACTAAGAAGGTATCGTTTTAAAATGATTTTTTTTTTTTTGTGTACATGCGATACATCTTTGACTACAGGGTTAATTTCTTTATGTAGCAAGTCTAATCAATCAGGAATCTTACTTAAAAAAGTTAAAAATTGAATAAAGTTTACCCCTACGAAATAAAAAAAAACATCTTAAAAATGTACACATTTTTCTACTTAAAATTAAAAGCGGGTGCTGTTTTTTTCTACACAAAATATTATGTTTATATTGAAGAGTTTTACCATCTACAGTTTTGCACCGAAGCAATTATTTTGAAAGTTGTCTCCATTAAGCTCCAACTCCACTGTGTGTTTCTATTTTTTACTTAAGTTTGCTGATTTCAGAAACTGCTTCAAATTCCAAAACCTAGCATACCAGCAACGGGCGTTTCAATTTGTTTTTATTATTTGTCATACTGTGAAGACGCTATGGAGAGAATATGTCTCTTACCTGAACACATACTTGTAGATCTTGTGAAGTGAGTTGAAACTGTTATTACTAACTTAGCATCATAAATGTAGTTTCTTCTTCGTTTTGTTTTTAATTATTTGAAAAAAAAATCAGCTATATATGCAAACTAATATAAAAATTAATTTTACTTACTTGTCTACGTTAATTAAATCATGTTTACAACTTAGGTATGCATTATGGATGTTGGAGTGTTCTCACGATTCAAGCAGATGTCATGCAACAATGTTCTTTAGCTACAGCTTTCAATTTAGAATAATTCTAGAAATATTTGATAATCAAGATGGACTACGCAAACTAATTAATGTGGTATGTTTTATTTATAATAAATAAATAACTATACCCACTTCCCTTCAATGTTTTTGTATTTTATCACAATGCTAACGTTAATTAGGTTAGTATGTTACCAATTTTGTCAACTGATGAACCGGCGTTTAGTTCATTAACTGAAGATGCCGAATGTTCAGCCAGACAAATTATTCGCCATGTTTGTGTTGCTTTAAAGCGTTACTTCGAAGCACATTTACATATAAAAGCTCAACAAATACGTAGAGCCAAAATGAGAGATTCTGGACTTTTAAATTCATCGACCATCATTCCAAATCGTACAACTGTTCCTGGTTATAAAGTAAGTTATTACTATGATTATTATTTTTTCTTTAATAAGTAATTTTTAAATAATTATAACATCTTTAAAGTGCTTATTTATCCATACTTAAAAAATTGTTTTGTTTTTAGTCTAACAAAAGATCATCAGCTGAAGTCCAAGAAGAAATTGAACTGTTGTCGAACACAGTGTCTATGAAAAGCCATTGGACACCAATTGATCATTTTATGAAATTAGGCGGCTTAAACATATTATTACAAGTAATTAATTTGTCCCACGATTGGAGCTTTACTGGCAGGCACGAGTAAAATATTTTTTATTTTATTAATTGCTCGTGGACTTTAATGGTTAACTCTTATTTGTCGTTTTGTAGATGTGAAATGGTCAAAGGTGCACTTGAAGTGATAAACATATGTGCAGTAATGCCCAAGGTACAACTGGCGTTGTGTGAACCAGCGCCTAAAATTCCTGGAGATGTTTCCCAAGCTGATATTAGTATAGCAGATGATTCGCAAGCTGAAAATGACGAAGTCGGTTTGAATATTATTTTGAAAGCAGCCGAAGGAGACCCTTCTGACGCAGACGTACAAAAAGCAGCATTGTCTGCAATAATTACATGTGTCTGTGCCCCCATCCACAGGGTATGTTTGATAAATAATAATTTGCTTAATAATTACAAAAGTATACTTGTATACAAAAGTGTAAACTTAAAATATTAATTAACTTGGTACTTACCTAACGTATACTCTGTCTTACAAAAGAACAGCACCATTTTGTGCATTTCGAATAAGGTATTTAGCACTTTCGGACTATTTAAAACCCCCTCTACGCGTCTGGTTATTACTGAATAATGATGATGATATCGTCTGATGGTTCAATGGTTGTCCGCCGTGTTGCACGTAAAAGAAGAACTAGGCAAATGGATGCGCGACATCGTCCAGATTTCATGATGCTGCAATAACGTTCTTTCGTGAGACAGAGTATAGAAAAATATAAATTGTCCTCGATTCCCTATAATTATTCTCAAACTTTGTCAATCTTCCAATGGGTGGCATTAAATTGTACAAGTAAATAAATAATTATTATTCCTTAGGAAGGAAGTACTATAGCCTATTACTCATCCCATGGATCAGCCAAAAAGAAAACTCATAAAACCAATGACGATGTAGTAATTGAAAAAGTATGGGATTGCATTAGAAATAATAATGGAATAATGGTAATGTTGTCTGCACATTTTATTATTTGACATTTTTGTTTATGTAAAGTTGTATGTTTAGGTTTTGTTGACATTAATGACGGTTAAAACTCCTATTACCGATGTTGACGCCATCAGGGGCCTAGCTAGTCGTGCATTGGCTGGATTAGCTCGTAGCGAGTCGGTGCGCCAAATTATCAGCAAATTACCATTATTTAACAGCGGCCAACTCCAAAGTATGTGTTTGCTAAATAACTTCCAAATTAAATTTGATTTTAAGCATTGCCTAATAAGTAATTATTGATATTTAATTGCTATTTAAAGAAATTAAATAATGTGAGTGATAAAATCGCTTCAGGCCTGCATTCAATTTAGACTTTAAAAATAGTGTTCAGTTATGTTAAAATAATGTTATGTTAATATATTTTTTCGATTTTAATGTAATAAGGGATAACCTTTTGGTCTTAAAAAGAAGTTATGTTGTAAAATGACCTATAGAAAAAAATCTGTCCATTGATATTGATCACATTAATTTAAAATCAATATCTGTAGCTCCATGTTAAAGCTTAAAATGTCTTCTTTTTTTTTTACCTATAATTAATTAATGTTGAATTTTTCAGTTCTTATGAAAGCTCCCGTGCTTCAAGACAGACGACAAGAACACGTGACATTTCAAAAATATGCCCTTGAACTAATGGAATTAGTTTCTGGGAAAACAAAATCAAATGGTGCCGAAATAGAAGCTTCTTTGGCAAATATAAATAGAGTAAGATAAATTTCTATATTTATATCATCTATGTAACCTTAGTATAGCCATTAACTTCATCTCATTTCTTTGGTGGTGGCATAAAGAGCATATTATATATAAGACCAACAAACTTACAATAACTTGGATGTGTTAGTGATAAAAAATGTTTTTAAGCTCCTTTCAAATCTGGTACTAACCAAGTTACAAAATAAAATTTAAATATTTTAAGTTGATTGAACCTTTTTAAATTTTAAGTCCAATATCACAACTAGTGTCTATTTATTATTTATAACAAATAATAATGCTTTAATATTGATTATTGGTTACACAACAGGCGAATATTGTTGCTCAAACGAAAATTCATTTCAATGAACAACAACTGCTCCACCTTATGCATCAACATCTAGTAACAAAAGGATTTTCGAAAACTGCTGACGCTTTAGTACAAGAAGCTAATCTCAATGTAGGAGAAAAAAAAAATAACACTTTATTAGAACCGTTCAAATACATTGCCCAATGTCGAGTGAGTGTAAAAATTTGAATTATAATTGTTTAAGCTCGTTTAAAAAAAAGTAGAAATCCATGGGGCTTGTGACTAAAAAGTGTTTTACTTATCTCTAAACTCTTAAATATTTTAGAGTCGAATTGGTACAATGTCCCCGATAACTTCTAGACACTCGATTCAAAATCAAAAATCAGACCTGGCTAATCCTTCTAGCGGACCTTTGGGCGCTGGTTTTAGTGTACGAGGAGTGAATTCGTCTTCTCCGATACGTTTGAATGTTAACAGGTAAAAAATATAATGGGTTTTTTTTAATACAGTTTTTGTTTTATTTTATAGCTAATAATTTTACGTTTTTTTTCTCCAGACGTTTAGAATCTCGACCCAAAGCTGAACCAGAACCGGAATTTGAGTCGCCAATGTCGAAATCAATTCACAAGAAAATAGATCAAGAGATAATTCCGTCTTCTGATAACAGTTCGACAGTGAGTCTAGAATCTATTATTACTGAGTATCTAACCAATCAACACGCTTCTTGTAAACATCCGATGGTTACGTGTCCACAATTCAACCTATTTGTGTAAGTATCACAAAATTGAATTTATTACAAACAAAACATGCAGTTCTTAATAACACATTATATTGTAGACCGCACAAATGCCCAGATCCTTCGCCGAGAAATTTAATGTGTACAAACTTTGCAATGCGATTTTCCAAAAACATACATTCACGACGGTTAGATCAAAGGCTAATTCACAGTCGGTTTTGTCCAACTCGAATGTTTCGTTTGGACAATGAGGACGGATACTTTACGTGTTGCGAATTTTTGGTAAGTCTTATTTTTTGGGAGTACAATAATATTACAAAAAAGGTTATCACAAAATTAATGTTATCTTCATGTACATGCTATTAGTCGCAAAAACGACTGGCGGTAGGTACTTACAACGGCGAGGTAAAGGTCTACAACTTGCTCACCGGTCAAGAAGAATTAACGTTTACTGCACACGATTCCTATATTGTTAACCTAGAAAGAAGCAACAACGAGAGACTTTTGTTATCGTCAGCTACGTGGCGAGCTCCTCTAACGTCATTATGGTCAATAAATGATCAATCGATCACACTCAAGTAATAACATTTTGTTTTTTTATTATTGATTGAACTCGTTAACGCTCCGTTTTCTTGTCTAGATATTCTTTAGATGATGAAGAATACTGCACATTTAGTAATTATTGTCAAAATAAAATACTAGGAACTAAGGCTGAAATAGCAACGGTACGTATTTTGGTCTAAGTTTTTATATGACTGTAAACTAATAGTTATTCAAACTTTTTAGATATACGATGTCGAAACTAGTAAAAAACTAATGACGTTGACTCCAAAACATTCTAACCAGTACAGCAGGAATAGAGCTGCATTTGATGCCACAAACGAATTAGTACTCTCCGACGGTGTACTTTGGGATGCGATATCTGGAAAAGAAATTCACAAATTTGATAAGTTAAATCAAAATGTCAGCGGTATTTTTCATCCAAATGGATTAGAAGTAAATATGTACTACAACTCAACATATGATATTTTCTGAATAGAGAGATGCACATTTTACCATACATTTTTTTGGGGGGGTAAATCTTATGTAAACCAAATTAAAACATGCTGTTATTTTTTAAGAAAAATTAAACGACCTAGTTTGTGTAAATTAAAATGTTGGCTATACATTTTATCACTATAAGGCAAATTTTTCATTTTTAGTGACAGCTTAGTTAATCATTACCAGTCTAATTAATATTTCTAAATCATTTACGTAAAAAACAAAAATGGTAAAATTTAATTGACTGCATCATTAATTCTAAATAATTTCACTCAGATTTGTATAATACTTTCCTTATCTAATCCGATCTATCAATCATCAACAGATTATTTCAAACACAGAAGTATGGGATATGCGTACATTCCAATTACTGCGTACCGTCTCGAGTCTTGATCAGTGTAACGTGACTTTCTCCAGAACGGGAGAAGGCATGTACGTTTATGTTATCGATCAAGAGATGGATGACGATATGTCTTATCAAACATCGTTCAAAACTCTAGATCCTTACGACTACACAAATATTAGTAAGTGCAAATTGATAAATTATAAACACGTGTGGTTAAAATAATTCATTGGCCATTGTATATTGTAGCTACTGTCGATGTGAAGAAACATATATATCATATGGCTTGCAATAATTATGACACACAAATAGCAATTGTTGAAAACCAAGGTATTTATGAAAACATTGATGAATCTATTGTACGAATATATGATGTGGGAAGATCTCGAACGGAAGATGAAACTGTAAGTTCTACGGTGATATACATAATATACATATAGTTTTATCCATTTATGACCAACTATACTTAACATTGAAGTATAGTTGGTGCAAATGACTATTAGTTGTTCTATATTAATATTAATTTTGTCGTGTATTTGTAGATGGAAGAAGAAGACGAAGAAGAAGTCGAAAGTGAAGGATCAGGATCTGACGATGGAGATATGTCACGTAAATATTGATAAAATTATTATTATTTAGTAGTATATTTTGTTGCGACTTATTTCCAAATTTCTTGAGAGGAAAAAAATGACGGGTCTGTATCACCAGCTGTTACGAAAACTATGTTTCATTTGCCTTATAAAAAGTAGTATGTTAACTAAGATTGGTGTTTTACGTAAAGAACTTATTTTTTTTCGTAACTGATGTTGATATATTCTTGCCTCTTAATTTTCGTATCTGCTAACCTTTGTTTATTGTCTTTTTGTTGCCAACCAAGCTTCACATTTATATAAGAAAATATAACTTTTGTATTTTTTTACTCATGAAAGACTACAATAATCATAATCATAAAATGTATAATAATTTTATGGAATTTTTAGTGTTACCGTCATTTATTCAAGATTTAATGGATAATAGAAGTGTATTGGACGAAGAGGATGATGATGACGATGATGACGAAGACGATGATGATCGGGATGAACGCGCTTCATTGCAGTACAGCGACATTGATAGCTCTAGTTCAGATTACTCCAGAACGTCATATGCTAGTTCATCCAGTGATGTTGCCTACTCACCAGCTCCAGATATGTCCTAAGATATATAGTGAAATATCTAATTGATTTTTCGAAATACCTTAATATTGTTGTTTTTATTATGAAGTTTTATACGACTTGCTTATAAATATTTTACTTATAACATTTGTGTTTGCCACTATAAAAACACATGATAATTCAGTGATATGATTTCAACCAATTGTTTTTCTTTCACAATCAAATGTTAATTCTATTTTTATATACCTATGTAAGTATGTGTATAGTTAGGACACTGGTAATTGTTCGTATGCTGATAATTAATACATTAGGAAAAAATATTTTTTTAATTATTCAAATTCAGTTTGTTGTATTATTCATAAATAAAAACGAGTTGATCTTCTCTAGTCTATTAAAATATGATCTGTTGATTCTTAATAGTGTTATTAATTTGACGATTAACATTTTTTGTATAAATATAGATATATATGTATTATGTACCTGCTTTGAAAACGCCTCTCAACTGACTATTATTATATTAAACATTATGATTTATAATATTTCCAAAAACTATTGTTATTTGAGGCAAAATTAATTTATTTTTAATAAAAATAAACGGAATATTTTTAAAAAGTACAAAAAAATGTACTTGCATTATTCTAAATGTTGGATACTATAATGTTGTTGCAACTTGAGTTCTCGTATTCACTATTGTTTTTAAAAGGTTAATTTTTATACGGATTAGAATCGAGTGAACTTGATATCGGCTTAAATGCGATGGCAAATTACAGCAATTTTTCACCTTGTTAAGAAATTGTAGACTCGCCAACATTAGATCAAATTATGGGGAAATTCATTATTTTTAATTCATTTTTTTTCATTAGAAAAATTGTAATAGTATGTTATATTTTAAGCCTAATAGAATTTTTGGATCTATATTACGGATTACGTTGATTATGGAGTCCTGAAATAATTGCTGGTCTTTTGACCAAAATATAATTTCATGATCATAATAATATGTGGTCTTCCAATATTTTTTTTTTTTTTTTTATTGAAATATTAATACAAACTATTTATTTCTACAATTATAAGCTAATAAATGTATGAATTGATGCTAAAAATTAATGTGTACAAACTGGACGATATTTACAAAGACAAGCAACTTAAAAAACAATTATTTACAGCAATTACAAGGCAAAGCCGGACTCAACAATGAAGAGAAGGACGGATTTAATGATTGGAATGACTGAGGAATTGAGAATGGAATAAGTGTCAAAATGGTTGATATTATAGAAGGATAGGGTGGTGAAGAGAGGAGTACGAAGTTGAGACAAAGCAGGACACCATAGCAGATGGGGGAAGTCGGGTCTTCCAATATTTATGATCCTCTAATTTTATTAATTTTAGACGGTGTCAATGGTAATTCGGAAAGTAACGCATGTTTATTTAAAAAAATTGTTTCTACAAAGTTTATACATCTAATTTAAAGCTATGTTTGGACATAGTTGCCGGATCGTTTGGTACGTTTAAAAGTTAGAACGTAATATTTTAATCTGGCTCACTGCGTACTGCGTATCACTTGCAGTTTGGAAATAGGTAAGCCAGCAACTCGTATTATCAACTTTAATACAAAATGGCCTCCTGTAAATAATGCACGGCCATCGCAGTTTTCGTGATTGTTGCGATTGCCGGCATACCTTATCTACCGTCTATTATAGAATAATCACAGATTAAATGTAATCATTTAAATCCGTGGAATAAATTAATAATTATAATAATCATGGATATATTATTATTATCTTATCGAACGCGAAAATTGATTAACGCGAGTTGTAAACTTATGTTTTAAAACATCAATAATAATATAGGTAAATATGTTATTATATATTTGTCAATATTAAAACATAGCGACGTTAGGTATAATTTAAGAATTGATGTGTTGTGTAAAGCGGTTATATTTCAGTAAGCGGTTACCCGCGGATGGTCGGAACAACGTCAAAACCGTTTAACCAACAAAGATGTAATCGTTTGTGATAAGAGCGTTTTTCAATTTTGGCGGTTAAATATGATGAGGTGGTCGCAGTGTTTCTGTTGTTCTGCGTCAGCGGCTTTACGTTGTGTGTTAAATCTGCATTGTGTTGAGCTCCGTCAATTGTTTTCTTTGCCGTACACGTTTGCGGTCGCCACACACAAAACCATGTCTTCGAATAAATCCGATAAAATCTACACGGTGTTGATCGAAGGAAACGTCGGCAGTGGCAAGACAACGTTTCTTGAACGGTTTGCCGATTGTCCAAACGTGCTTCTCGCTAAAGAACCGGTACACAAGTGGCAAAATGTCGACGGATACAATTTTTTGGTATACTTATTCATAACTATTATTGACTTAATATGGTACGGATTTTTAGTAATCGTCCCCAAAAGGTTATCTATGAGACCTAAAATGAATAAGTTTCATGATTATGAAAAAGTTTACCTCAAAATCAAGAAAAACTTGTGCACATATTTCTACTTAAAATGATGCTATAACTTTTAGAAAAATGGTAGAGTTATTTACAAGCTTGTGTGGGTTATACTTTAAATAAGACAGTTTTCTTTATCTTTGCCTTACACTCCCAACTATATGGGGTCTACACTTAAGATAAGTATTAACGATAACGATTTGAATAATACCTAAGAAATTATCATTGCCTTTTTTTTTATTTGGCCTTTTTGGTATAATTTTAGGACTTGGGGTCCAAATAAATAGACAATTTTTTTAAAACCATTGAGATATTCCAATGGTAATTTTTTTTTTAGTTGATTTCTATAACCTCAAAATCCAGACCATAATTTATTAGTCACCCAAAGTGTATAATTTTTTTCTTTGTTTTACATAAAGGGACTGATGTACGACGATCCAAAACGCTGGAGCTTTGCTTTCCAGTCTATTGTACAAAGGACCATGTTAGAAATGCACCAGTTGAGACCTAATTCTAACCAGAATATTAAAATTATGGAAAGGTCTATTTATAGTGCCAGGTAATTATTCTCGCAACACATAACTGTTACAAACATAATCCTTACCAAGCTGTATCTCGTTTTACTAATCTATTTGTATTAATTGTTGTATCATTAAAAATTATTTATTTGTTTACCAGAGTTCCCAAGATTATATTAATTTAATAACAAATTATCATAATAATAATATAATATATGTAACAAAATTAATGGCCATTCAGAATATTTAAACGATAGTGCCTTACTGCTTCCTTCTTTCCTTTGTCATTTACTTTGCTCAATTTTTTTAGTTAAGTTTTGCGTATTTCAATCTTTTATCAGAGAATTTATCGCAAATGTATATCTTGTAGAGATTTTATGACAATGGGAGAGAATTTGAGAATTGGAAGAAAAAATATTTAAACAGTAATGTACAGTTAGGTAAATAATGTTTAGTGTTACATAATATTAAATAAACTAATAGTTAATCACTTAATAAATTTCATTTTAACTTGAGTAAAAAATTATATTTTTATTTTGCATAAAAAAATATATAATTATTGTGTATTATCTAAATTAAATATGTGAAACTGCTATTAAAATCTGATATGTTTTGCTCATCACTGGCGTTGTTGTTAAATGATAAAATTAAATCGTTAGCTGAGTTTTAACAATTTTCCAACTTTGTTTTCGGTGGCCTAATGCATTCATTCTAAATTTTGTTCGTTTAAGTTCATATAAAACTGTAATTGTTGTTGTCTACCTTGGGAATTCCTATTGGCGGTATGATCCTAATTATAAATGTTTTTCATCCAACTTTGTTGTTAAATGACTAATCTGAATTGTAGAACCTATTAAATGGTAATTCTACAAAACATAATCTAACTTTTTATACATTCATAGGACGATCAGATTATAGAGAATTTATAGTGTTTTTTATTTTTTTTATTTAGTTCTTTTCTCAGCTTGTAATTGTTAAATATTTTAATGTATTAAAAACTCATTTAGTTTCTTATCACAATGTTGAAGTATTGTGAAAGAACACAAATTAAATTTCAATGGTATCCGTATAAAAGTTTATTAACTTAAATGTTGTTTGAGTAATTTGGAACTTAGTATTAAAAAGTAAATTTTAAATTTACCATAGGGTTTATTTTATTTCTTAGACGGCAGTGATATTTGGCTTAAGCTGTACAAAAGTTAAATTTTACATCTTTTTACCCTATAGGTGTTAAATGAAATTGCAAAAAATCTTTTTTGAATGCGTTCACAACCAAAATAAATTATTATATTATTGAAATAATATATTTACCAATTTGCGTTAAGGCTAAAATTTTTTAAATTATGAATTTGACATTCATAATTTAAAATGACTACTGGTACTATTAAAAAGTTAGAAATTTATGAAAAACTCTTTCTGCAATTAATTTGAGATTATTATTATTAATTAAATTGTATTATTTTAGTATTTGTGTGTCAAGAATTAATTCTATAATTTGTTTTTCAGAAACATATTTGTTGAAAACTTGTTCAAAGATAATTATTTGTCTGCACCGGAATACGCTGTGCTCGATGCGTGGTACAAATGGCTAACGGAAAATGTTGAAATTGAATGTGACCTCATTAGTATGTTGATCACAAAGATTGAATATTCTTACTTGAATTATCAATTTTCTAATTTAAATGTTTGCAATTACAGTTTACCTCAGAACCGAACCTGAAGTGGCTTATAAAAGAATAAAAACTAGGGGTCGATCTGAAGAAAAGGCTATTCCTTTTGAACACATTAAACATCTTCACGAGTTGCATGAAAAATGGTTAAACGTAGAAAGGACTAAAGTTCCAAACGCTACACCAGTAAGTCAAAATTCAATTGCCATAGGACGTTTACATTGTATGAGTATAAGGCAACATACTTACAATATGTTTATACTTGTAAATTAATTAAATTTTTTTATAGCATAATAAATTATAGCTGATGAACCAACAACAGTTTGTTTTAAAAAAATATATAACAAATACGTTTGAAACAATTCGGATTTTGAAAAAAAATTTAAAAAAATTTTTATCACTAGAGATGGCTTAGATTTTTACGAGTTAGTTTTTCTTTGTTGTTCATCTCGAGCTGTTATTGTAATGCTTTTTAATAGCTAAAAAAATTTAGACTATTAGATTAGGTAAATCAAAAATATATTTTTTTCTCAATGAAATAATTATTTTGTTTTTTTATGATGTATTTTAATAGGGAACTTAAATTTACATATTGTTATTTTTTTAAAGTAGACAAAAAATATAAATAAAGCCTGTTACAGTTACAATTATTATAACAATTTAGAAATTGTTTTTAAAAAAATGTATTTTAAATTATCATTTGTATATTTATACCAAATTAACGTAACATTCTACTAATTAAACATTTTTAATTTTTCCACATGCACAAAAATATATATTTCGGGAGGAGGGCTCTTTTGTTCACATGGTGTTACTTAATTTTATTTGTTTCACAAATGGCCAAAGTAATATTTATATTATTTCAATTTCAATTTAACTATCTTATTTTTACAGGTGGTTGTTGTTGATGCAAACCAAAATATGGAGTATGTAGAAAAAGAGAGTAAATATATTAGAGACTTAATCACGGCAAATGCATCTGCATCTGCAGTGGTGGAGTCACAGGTCAAAGACAAAAGTAATAATGATAATGACCAAATATTAAAAGATATCCATAAAATATCGCCCAAATGTAAGTTAATATCAGATGCAGCTATTATTCCAGTTCAACGGGTATAGAAAGTACAAGTTTATTCAGGATAAATAATTAACCATTAATATTAAGAATATGTCGATAATAACTTGTCAATTAAGTGATTGATTAATTTTAATTAAAAAAAAAAAAAAAGAATTTGACAAAAACTAGAAGTATAGGTTAAGAGTTCTGTGTATTATTTATATATTATATTTTTACTAATTTTTTTTTTTTATATTAGATATATTAATTATCTTCTAGTATCAAACCATAGTTTGGTTAAAGCATTATTATCTTTGATATTTGTGTGCGTATAAATTAATGTTGTAAATAAATAAGTGTGGATAACTGTTTTTATAACAAAACACAGACGAATTGTAAGGAACAGAATTTTTATTACCATATTTTATTAGTAAAGCAATTTCCAGGTTCGTAAAAAGTTGCACTAAGAGGCTGGTACCAAATTTGTTAATAACAATTTATTATAATAAAACAAATAATAACTGGAAAATGAAATACATTTTTTTTTTGTATTAAAATTTATCTATATGAATGATTTTAGTATATTTAATTATTATATCAACACATACTTCTGAATTGAAAGAAAGAATGTTAAATACGAGCAAGCCTGGCTTAACTAGGTTAGATGATGAAAAACACACCTCCAATTGTCCCTTTTTTTATGCGTGTCTCACTCCCTCCTAGTTTTGAATTTTTTATGGTGTAAAATTAATTTAGGTTTGAAAAATGTACGTCAAAAATAAAACTCCAGCGTCTTGCTGAAACTTGTGTTTTAATTAAAGCGTGTTTATTGATAACTTCAATCTCAAATTTCCTTGTAATTACGATTCGTTAGGCAAAATATAGATCCTTTCATTACCATTTTAAATAAACCTGGCATAGTGCCACTGAACGTGATCCATTTAGTATCAAATTTAAAAATGATTACATAAATAACAATAAACCGTCCAACTATAATAATTAAAACAACTTAATTTAGTGAAATATCAATCATAATATGAAATCTTTAATTTGTTCTTCCATATTTTTTACATTGGTATTTTCTTTACATTTTTCAAGTATTTCTTGGGGTAAATTTTCCATTGAATCCTAAAAAAAATATAAATTTATTATGGTCTATCGACTATAATTTTATACAGTTGCATATTTTCATATCAGTGGTATTCAAACTTTTTGATCCCATGGCTCCTTTGTGTGTCTTCACAATATGTTGATGCCTTCCTAATGGATTCTGCATTAGGGTATACATAAGTTCATAACCTCCATGGCACCCTTGACCAACTTGCGTGATACAGTTTGAATACCTCTAGCTTATATAATTATACTTACTAAATTTTGAATTATATTTCTGCATCCATAACACATTGAATCTCTTAGCTCTTGTTTTGAACATTGTTCTCTATTATTAGCACAATTGCATTCATCACAATTATTTCCAACTTGCTGTTCGACTTTAAGATTATCTCTAAAACTCAACTCCACTGCTCTAATTCCCATTTGTGAAACGTATTTTGAATACTTGGTTGCTTGTATGGCTGACGATGAAGGCATATCTACATCCATAACACCCTAAAAAAAAAAATGTTAAAAAATGTAATATTAACTCCTCCAATAGTATTAATATAAATATTCACGTACGTTGCACATGGAACACGTATAATTGTCCAAAGCTTTTTCTACGATTTTCTCACCCGTTCTAAATATTGTAGATACCGTTGAAGGGAATTCTACTTGTAAGTTGTTTATGAACTGTTCAGTTGTTTTTTGTATAGACTCGTCTTCATTTGTCTATGTGGGAAAATGTTTAACGAGATAAATAATAATAACCATGTATGTGTTTGAGCCAAATTTTGTAATCGCCAGTTTGGTTAGAATCAAAATCAACTATAATAAAATTTACTTACAGCTGTTAAAAAGTTGAAATGCACAAAATCCTGTAAGGTGTTAAACAATACATAGTATGATATCTCTTTAGCTGATAACTCTCTTAATGGCCGTAAGATGACTATCGATGTATTATTGTTTTTTTTGTCATTAACTGCCAAACCCTAAAAAAATAAATAATTAGTATTTTAAACGTGTCTTTGATAACATTGTAAAATTTTGCTTACAATATCCAATCCAATTTGAGACCCACGACCCAAAGCTACGTTTGAAAGCAAGCGAATGGATAACATGTGTTCATTTTCGGCTGTCATCACTCTAGTACAATTTAAATCGGCAGCTAATTTCATTATAGCGTGTTTTCTGGACATAAGTAAATACTCAAGGTTATTATTATTAAAGAAAAAAAGGTAATTCCTGTTTGAATTATTACCGGAGCTTAACTAGAATGTCTTGCTTTAGCGTGAGATCAGCAATACTATTCACAAGGGATTTCAGCTTTTTGTCATATTCACTCAAATTATTGTTTTCTTCTAGGGCGTTTTTACTATACAGAGCCAAAGATAATGGTACTATGTGATATGGTAAACTGTAAAAATCAAAAACTTCTTTAATACCAATGTATCGCTCCTCAGGATAATTGAATAAGACGCTTTCTAAAAGTACACAAAAAAAAAAATTGAATTCACAAAAATTTAAGAACAATCGTATATAAAAAAAACCTACCGTCAATGTGTAGAACGATTGGTTTAAATGTCAGCCGCTTGTGAGTAGATTGTTGTAGGCCTGACCATACCATGTGTAATAAAGACACAGAACATAGTGAGCCGCTTACACAAATAAGTACGCGTTCGTTTTGTCTGACTAGTTTAGACTTGCCTAAGGTGGCACGAAACTTATGAACGACCATAGTTAGAAAACAATCCCTGTAAAATAATAATTTATGTATTTGATTGTTATACAATATACCTACATATTTTAAGATATATGCATTTTAATTCAGAGTTGGCGAAAAAAAATTTCAGTGGGTTTGTTTTGTTTATGCATTATAAATGATTGATTATTCACTATTTACCCAAAAAGAAGCTTATGCATATTCAAATATTATAACTGGGTCGAGGGGGAAAAAATGATTGCAAACTTTTAAGTTATAAACCTATTTTACTGACTTGCAATAGACATCCTTTTTTCGTAGGACCACATTTCCATTTTGGATTTGGCATTTACGGCATTTTACATCCAATCTGAAAACATTTAAATACATAATTAAAATATAATTTAACTAAATGTATACAAAAAAAATTAAGCACAGTCGGGTAGGGGCGGATCATAATGAATTTGGGGACAATGCTACACCGCTCTGATGTGAATTGTTGGTCCAGACATAAAAATAAAATAAAAACCCACCTTATAAAACCAATACCTTCTTCTCTCCGCATCGAAGCTAAAATAACGCTATACATAATAATGCATTTTTTTCTAAATAGAATATATACTTACGGTTCATTTTTTTCCAGATCTTCGAAGGCTTCAGAACAACCGTCGTCGTTTACACTGCACATAGCTTGTCCAAAATCTAAATGACTTCTTCGATCCTCAATATAATTGATCGAAGAATACGAATTAAATTATAAGTATAACCGTGTACTACATCAAATCTATATAATAAGATTGTACATAATATAGGAAACAATAATTATAAAATAGGAAACAAAATAAAACAATTCAAATCGTCACGTGGAAATTGGATAATATACAATACAATTACTGATAAACGAAAAGTGATAGCACAACAGCTGATAACAAATGTTTTTTTATTTTTATCTCTGTCTTTGTCGAGTGATAACTTTACTCACGAGTAGTTGTAAAGTATTTATATTTATATAATTATTTTATACAGTAACTAATGACGTGAACGGCGTGTAAAAAAACGTACAACATCTTTTGTTGAACTACACTGGCAAGCTATTAGTGAAATGTAAATTTGTGATTAGGATCTCCGATTAGACATCATAATTAACAAGAAATATTAAGTAAATAAAAATGTACAAATAAAAACAAGTGATGTGTTTTATCAACTACTCCATATTATACTGACTATTATACGCAATTAATTAAAAATTTAAAACTGGTATGTGTTGCTCTTCAAGGTAAAGGTGCGGTAATTATGAGACATTCTGTTGATAAAGATTTACAGGAGTACTACAACAAAATGTGTATGAAACGTGAACATGACGACTACGAACAGTCAGGGTATCCTTTTCCTGTGTTTGATTTCATCGATCTGACAAATGAAGATTTTGGCGATGACGGAGTTGTGGATGAAACGATCCCAAGAAACATTCAATGGGACTATCCGTACAACTTATTATCTAGCGACGAAGACGAACCAGTAATTATTAACAACTTTTACTTATTTGGCTAAACTGAAGAGTACAGCAATAAAAGGTTAATAGTCACTATTGCCAATTTTTAGGCAAAACAAATTAATTATTAACAACTCTAGAATATTATGGTATAGCAATTTTGTCATTTACTATTTTAAAATTTGTAATTACCTTACCTATTTACAGTATACCGTATTATTGTGTACAGAAGAATTTAAATTTTAGAAAAGGACTTTTTTTCTAATACTCTTCAAACTATATTTAATTAAACCGATAGTTAATTTATTATCCATTTTATATAATAGCATATCTGTGTATAATAATTGGGCGACTTCTGAAGTATTAAAAAATAATATTTAGTTCATTGCGATAGTAGCTAGTAAATAACAAGTTAAAATGGAGGTTTTTTTTACATATATATTATCGTCGTTGCCGCAAAATAACCTCCTATGTGTCAGTTTTACAAATTTTAGGTTTTGGTATCTCTGTATATAGAAAAGAATAAGCTATCAAAATCTCCAACGTGCTATCTCCATTGTAGAATAAATGAAAAATAAAACCTACGTTTTAGTGTCTCCTGAACAATAATAACAATTTATAGGTTTTAGTACATGAGAGTTTTTTTTCGCGGCAACAATGATATAATGAATAAAGAAATTATAATTTAAAGATGAATAATAGAAATTAAAATTGTTAATTATAACAATAATTTATTATTATATAACATTTTGATTAGAATAAATTACCATTTTTTTAAAATTAAAATAGTTACATTTCTAATGTTTTGTATAATATTTATCGTAATATATACATCTATTTATATCTTTTTTTCTACAGTTAATAAGCGATGGTTTTTATGATCTAAAAAATTTTAAGATATTTTATAATATTATTATTGTATATAATATGAGGCGCTCAGAAGACAAACCGATTAACTACCCTTTTTTTTTTTTTGCAAATAATAGCATGGTTAGATTTTGCAAAAAAAAAAAAAGGTAGTTAATCAGTTTGGCTTCTGAGCACCTCATATATATTATTATACATATTTTGAGATGACTACAGTATTGTTATCAATAATTTTAGGTCAGAGGAATATTTTTGGTTAATGGTGATGAAAGTAATATCGACCTTGAACGTATACCCGAAGAATCCTATGATGATTCAATTGAAAACACCAGTCAAGAAACGACGTTGGTCAATGACGTTGTAAGTGATTTGCAGAATATGGCATCCAACGACACGAATCAGCAAAATGATGAACGAGAATTTGATTTAAATGTACCTCAAATTTTGTTATCCATGTTAACAATATCAAATAATTTATTAGAAAGAGCTATGCAACTTTAGATTATTTAACACTTCAAGTATGTATTTTATTATTTATATATAATTTATAAATATGTTACAACAATATATGTATGTATATATCGTATTAAAGATTTAACAATAAATATTTATCACAAGTTTTAGTCGAATAATTGTTCATTTAAAAAACACTTTGTTGAATATCAAGTACTCGAACACGGATCGTATGAATTTAATAATTTTGCAATATTAATTATGTAAAATGCTGCCAGTGCTCCCGTAGCTGATCCAAATTGAGTGACACAGCCATAGTAGAATAAGCCTTTGTTGCCTTGTTTGCGTAACACTGCCGCTATTGACAATTTGATATAAGAAGCACATCCAAAGTAGACGACCCATAACAAAACCTAAAAAGATATTTTAAAAGCACACAGTTTTGTTGTTCGTTTATTTTTAATGTTAAGTATAGTTCAATAGTTTTAAACTTACAATAATTATCATTCCGGCAGTTGTATTATACAAAGGTGGTGTGGGGCTTGCAAACGCAGTAATCACCAAGTATATTGTACATATTTTACAAATGGCACTCAACACGTGTATGACATTTCTAGATTTCAGATTCGTGTAAAATGCTATAAAGCATGCAATTGGGTTCATTATGTTCGATAGATTTGCCGCCAGATGGTACGTTAAATAACCATATGGCAAGCACGAATACGATTGAAAACTGGGCATTAAACCGTTTGCAAAAAAAACAATTGCTCCTTGTATGATTAACAGTACTATATTTGAGCTTTTGATTGTATTCAAATTGCTTTCGGTTTCCAAATTTTGTGATTTTTTTATTTGTAATTTTTCTTTTTTGCAAACTGGTAAATATTCAAGGCAAATATACGATACTGTGCTTGCAAACATTAGGACACCGATTATTATAAAAAAAATTTGGCTAGAAAAACGAGCGTTTGTCACTTCTTTGGTAGTAATAGTATGACCGTTTTTTATAATTGTAGCACAAGACGTTGTGCCCACTCCTTGAGCAATTGCAATAATGCTTGGTAAAAATCCACTCAAACCTTCACCGATCATATAAGTGACTAAATACACGTCTTGGAACTGGCTTAGTGATGGTATGAACAGAACTGAACTGGTGCAGCCCACTAGAGCTATGAAGAATGTCAGCACAAACAAAAATACACTGTGCGGTTCGCCAAATACTAGTTTTGTGATTTTATAATAGCCGGCCATAAGGAAAATCGAGGCTACACCCAAAACCAGCATGAATAACGTCAGCGGTCTGTCATATCTGTTTTCAAAGTATTTGCGCCAAATGCTGTACAACAACGGTCCCAAATTACCAATCTGTATTATTATCGATAGATAAGACGGTAAATTCCATCCTTCGGGAGCAGTCTGAACTAGCGATGGCAGTTGAGTAAACAAACTGTTGACCAGTATCCAGGCTCCAACGCCAAATAGCAATGTGAATACATCTATGTACCTGCGAAACATCAGTCAATGATACAGAACTCTGTGTCGCACAATTCATATTTTTCAGTACAGTATTTGATAATTTTAATGCAAAATTACTTAACTATTTCCCCTTTTATAACAGCTATCTAATTTATACTAGACATTTATTTTTGTGTTTTTTCAATTTGTTTGTAAAGTAACTTAAGCAATAAGTGCATAACACACTATAAAGGTACAGAGGTTTCAGGAAAGCAGGATTTCCGACCAGCGAATCCACAGAAGTAAGCAACCAAGAAAATGAAATGGACATTGATCGAATTATTAGAACTTCTTCCGTTGTCTCAAAATCACGATTACACTGACATAGACAAAATGTAGCTCAAATGATGTGTCAGTGATATTGGACAAATTTTGATCCGACCTAATCTATTACCGAATCCGATAATGATCAACCAGACCCCTGAAGTTTGACGTTCGATTCTATTCAGAAGCTCTGGGACAACTTATTCATCTGAAAGATTTTTATTTGAAAAAAGGTGTTGAAAAGGGTTTTTACATGTGAACGAGCTAATTTTATCCATCATGATTTTTTAATTTTAATTTATTTATTGTATGTTATTTTATATTTGTTTATAAAAAAAATGTATTAATATGATGATTGCCATATGCATATATGTACATATGGATTGATATATATTTAAATAGTACTTATGTACGGATATTGATTGATGTAGATTTAAATACAACATAATTATAATACATTTTCATTATAAATATTAAATGTGCACATTAATTTGACTATAACACCTTTCTACAACGGACACCTGTCTATAACGGACATTTTTTATGTTCTTTTGTGTGTATAGGCAGGTTTCACTGTACTTACCATTTTCTTTCGATAATTGTATTATACTCTACACTATACACATTCATTCGTTTGGATGTTAAATGCGTTTTCTCGTCGTCCCTATAAACAAAATTCAAAGTTAAAACAGTTATTGTTAAGATACTAAGCTAAAATTAAAAGCGTTTGGTTTATAATACATTTTATTTTTAAGCTCAAACAAACGAAACGCACTACTATTACACGCACTTCACGCAATTTAAATAAACTGTCAATTGTCCTATCTTTGTGTTAAACAGATAACAATTAATTGGCAATGGCATTTAAATAATAAGCGAAAAATTAAAAACCGTATTTAATTCGATTTTAAATGTCTTTTGATTGAAATAAAATCAATTATTTAACAGATAAGTTATAAATATAGACGATTAAAAACTTATAGAATTGGACTGAAAAATAATTTACCGTATTGTTAAAATTGTCTATTAATAAAATGTATTTAGAGGGCCACATCAATGGGAGTGGGAAGGGGGTAGATTAAAATTTTAAATTAAAAATGTACGGTTTATATCATAACCTTCCCTACTCTATTTTTTATGTATAATTATACTAATAGACAAATAATTTTTGTTAAGAAGAGAGTTAATAGCAAAAAAACCAAGAAGGTGGGACACTAGACCTTGTGAAATCGTGCTAATGATCATAGCAATTCACACGAATTTTGGGCTGCCACACTTCGAAATAAGGATTAGGGTTTATCCGTTTATATATTAAAAAATCAAACATCCATGCCGATCATTTTAATTATCTCATTACTTGTCCATGACAATAATAAGCAATATACCTACGTGTATAATATGAGCAGAATGAATTTATCAGCCGAGTGGTGTTAAGTGTCTTTAGTCTCAACACAGACGAAAACTTTTAACAATTATTATGAATTATCACATCTAATATGTTATAATATTTGGCATTTGCGTAATCAATCACCGTCGAGGAGAAAATATAACCAGAAATGTGTATTTTAATATAGCCAAACTTAAGTTAACCAGGTAGGTATATGGTATGATAGTCAGTGATGGAAATCAAACATTTCAATCGGTATTTCGTTACACCAATTAATATTTGATTATTTTTAAATATATATTTTTACCCGACTGCTGGAGAAGCATGTGTTTACTCATTTTTATAATATATATTATACTGTTTTCAATAGAATCGGGGAAGGCAAATCCGAAGCTAATAGTAAATGTACGAGGTGAGATTTTATTGTTTACCAACTTTAGTTGAAACAATACTATAATTAACATTATTTTGTATATGTATACATACCGACGAATACTCGTATTAAAAACTACCTATCAACAATCAACAGTCACTGTAATGTGTTCTGTTCTTGAATTTTTATAAAATAAAAACAACGAGGAAAACTAGAAAACAAAAAAGTGTAATTATTATATTTAAACTTTAAAATATTGTTTGAAATTGACAAGGTATGTGTAGTTTAATAAAATGGTTGTAATCAGAAGCAATAATATTATTTAAAACTATCAAATTATATTTATACGATAAATAGTGTTACTAAACTCAGATTACTCGTGCATAATATTATAATGTAACTTTGTTCAATTAGTTTTTATCTTATCTATACGTAGGCCACTAATCGATCAACGGTATTTATTGATCATAAATGTTTTTATGCAATTTTTGTCAAATATTGCCTATCCTTTGCCCCTTAATAAATAGCGCTTTCCGTTCCTCTTAATAAATTATTATTTGTTGCCATATCTGATATCCGTATACATTCAGAAGGAAATCAATTCTATGTAACCATACCGGTTAATCCTATCATTATTAATAAACTATAATAGAACGCCTTAATAAACTCGGTAGCGTAATAGGTATATTATAAAATTTCAGCTAGTATTACAGCTTTCAAGAGAAAAATGTGTTCAAATCAATTAACAAGAAATATACGGGTTTATTAATGCAATTCCCCTCTTGAAAATCAATAAATAGTTTTGGAATTAATCACCGCATGTAGTAACGATAAACGATCACATTACATGTTTGTAGTAGTTGTATACAGTTACTCTAGAACAACACACAATAGAATGTTATATAATCACGAAGAGGGGGAGAACCGCAAGACGGCTTGTTTGGAATTTATAAAAAATTGAGAAATGGGAAATAATGATTTCATTACATCATTAAAAATTTACTCTAACCAGAAACTCGTTTTAAAAAACTAAAATCGCTATTAAATATTTTTGTTCGGTCCTTACCACTTTCGTGGTCTCGAATAAACTACGTCGTACCGTTAACAGTTTATTTAAAAAAAAAAATTATAGGTGATTTCCAATGTATATTTTATACGGTTATAATATTATGACTACTTAACATTTCTAAAATATTTTCGTCGTTTTTGTCAATATTGTAAAAATGATTTTAGATCATATATTTTGGCAGGAAATCAAATACAGTCACCGTAATATACCTTTATAAATGTTTTGATAAAACCTAATTGAAAAAAAAAATTGTATAGTTAAAAAAATTGTTTTAAGTTTTTTGTCAGAAATTGCATTTCTTACAAATTACAAATACTTTTTTACAAAATGTAACCGAAAAGGAGTATTTTAATATTGTTCGTATTTTATAATATTACTAGGGCGGACCAACGCCTAATTTTAAAATCATTAAATTTTTGTTTTGCCAAACTGGGATTTTCTAAATACAATACACAAGACCGTTTCTGGATGTTTTCGGGGTCCAAAATAAAGAATAAATCCATGACTTTTTATTTTTTAAAAAATTACAAGATATTGAAAAAATTCTGAGGGGGGTCTAGACCCGATGAAATCCTTGCTAAAAGGCCTTGGTTATACATGAATTAAAATTAAATATTAAATTATTAACAGTTATATTCTTAATGTTTTCAGCCAAACCTAAAATAAAAGCCTAATAAGGTAATAAAATAATGTTTCTAATGGTTGTGTGCGGGTTCTTATCATGGGTAATAATTATTATTATAAATCGATGTATCTACCTGTTTTGTATTGAATGCGGTGTTTATTTAAATATCAACGTCAAGCTCCTAACCAGATGGGCAATTATTTTAATATATTATACAATTAGTATTTTCGGTGTTACATTAAAAATTGTTTTAAAACTGTAATACTGCAATAGGTACATACAAACAGTCGTGTCGCCGTGGCGTGTAATTGAATACTATACGTCGAAGGTACCGCGTACGATTTGGCTGTCGACCGTCTACTGTCTACCGTGTAACTCGTTTGTCATGGCGAGGGAAGGATCGGTAGACCTATTTATCTATATATATATATATATATAATAGATAGTTGGATAGACATGTGCTTGTCGAGAACACGAGTGGGACCTTGAAATTGTACACAAGGTAGAGCTTATTTTAGCCGGCACCGTCCTTATGCAATAATAATTACACCTATAGGTACACTATAAGCGTATAATATACTATATTAGTATCGCATAAAAATGTATGCGCGGTAATAGTTTTTCTTGTCACAAAGCCACTGCAATTACACGAGTAATTTTTATGTTTACAGTGGCGATTCCAAGCTAGGGATAGAGGGAAGAGGGTGTGATGGAACATATTTCCCCCCCCCCTTCGGATTTTTATTTTTTAGTTAAAACATTTTGTTAACAAATCTGGTCAACGATTATTTGAAAGGAAATTATATCTGTAATTTCTAATTTTCATTTGTAAACCGTGCATACAACAATCACGTTAGATGACCATCAGTGAGTTGGCCGAAATTGAATTAAGATAATAAATAACCGATAATTCGACGAATGACGAATTACATAATTTGTTTATCGATAAATAAAAAATAATAAGTTTATTTATTATTTATAGATAGAAAATGTATCTCACAATTGGCATATTTTTGCTAAATAATTGTTCTTACTTTTCGCCATAGGTAGGTAAAAACAAAATAATTTTATCAGAGAAATATACAATATATTCTAATAAAAATAAAATAAAGTAATACTGTGAAAGTAGTTTGAATGGTATAAATTTAATTTCCGTTTTGTCTTGTCGTTATTAATCCTAAAATGTTGAATTTTGAACGATTTATTTGGATATTTTATGGTTTGTTTTGAAGACTTTTTTGTTAGTTTTTGCCTAAAATGAGACCCCTAGTTTTGTGTTTTCATTATGATTCAAAAATTATATTAAATATTTTGAAACTTTAATGGTAACCCAGAATACCTATATTTGATTAAGATTTTAAATAATAAGGATTTACTGAAGATGTTCACAACCAGTTTTGAATTGTTATTTTTAGAATTATAAGAGTTAAACCTAAACTTTAGCACTATTAGCTCCAAAAATAATTACTTAAAATTGGTTATTGACTAGTAAATAAAACCAGTGAATTATTCTTTATTTAAAAAGTTATTAAACATTTTAAATGTTCTCTCCCTAAATACTGATGTTTTTTATGTTTTCAGTCAATAGTTAGTGTGTTTATTTTGTACCTATCTTGAATTTGAATAATGTTGAAAATCACCAATTTATTAGCCTAGAACCTCAATTAGTTTTTTATTTTAGTTTTTCGTAGTTTTAGCATTTTTTTTTCAAGTTTGTTAATCAAAAAAGTAAATTGGGAAGATGGAGGCGGGTGCCTACTATACAAAACTATTATTGTCTCTGTAAAACACTAAAACAAGTAAGTATTTTGATAATAATTTTATAATACTGTAAAATAACAGAAACAAAACTGTTTTCGAAAAGAAAAACTACAAAACTGAAATTGAGTGTCTTCTCCATAATGAATCGCTCTATATATTATAATTTATAACCTATTGGTTCTTATTGATATAATATTCTATTAGTGATAATATATACAATTGTTAGCATTGATTTTATAAAACAACATGTTTAGTGTTATAAATCAATGGTGTTAGTTAAGATTTAACAAGCGCATGCAGTTATTATAAAAAACGTTTATATATGGGTCAAAACGCCAAGTACGAACGAACGGTTGAAGCGATCCTCCACAGATTTTTTTTAAAAATACACTGCATGTGTGTTACGATAAAAAGAATGTTCTCAAATATTTTTGGATTTCTTTTTCGATTATTTTGACCATGGTCGTAAAAAGTTTTTATAGTTTTTTTTCTTGACACTTCTTTATTATCATTTTTTTTATAGTATCATCGGCCCTCGAAAAAATGTGTTAAACATTAGTTTCTTATGTATAATAATCTTAGATTTCTGAAAAAATATTGATTTTTTTTTTGTAATTGGCGTTTTGACCCATATAATATATGTATACATGTATGTACTAATAAATCGTCTATATAGTATCGTTTGAAACAACTGTAAAATGTAATTTACTCACTTCATTATTGTGCAGCGTTAACAAGTCACTCGTTAGAAAAAAAATTGTCTTAAATATTACTGTTGGCATCTATTGATTCATATAATTTTACATTATAAAACGTAGAGCGTCTGTGGTCGGCCGAACATTATTGGCATTTATGGCAACGCAGCCAACAGCAGTGAGCAGACTGCCGTTACAGCCGGTCACAAGCAATCGAAGTGAACGTCTACCATCACCTCTGACCTAATGTCGATTTTTAATCTAAACAGAGTTCGATTTTTGATAGTATATCAATTGAATATAATAAGTAATTAAAACTGTAATTTTGTGTAACGCGTTAGCCACGCGTACAGTCAATAGGGAAGTTCTGAAAGTTTGACAATATGTTATATGCAATAGCTTTGCGCTCAAAGACATTAGGCAAATATTATGGCCTTAAGGGGAACGGAAAGCGTCGATTTTTTGTACAAATAAAGACTAAAACGCGTAGTGACTTTCTGAAGTGTCTACCGAACCGACTTCAATAATTGTCTCTACGGTGGCTAAAAGACCGATTTTTTATTTTTGTTTTCAAAAAATATTTATAAGCAATTTTATTTTTACTGTTTAATAGTTTTTTTCTAATACATTTAACTACTTTTTTAATCGCTAAATTAAAAATTCGGCCTTTTAGCCCCCACAGAAAAAATTGTAAGATTCGCGTAAAAAAATACTTGAAATCCGTCCAATAGATACACTAGAAAATTACTTTTACGAAAGTCATTTGTTATCAAACTTTTATAATAACTTGGAGAAAAATAACTTTCAAAATATTATAATTAGAAAATTGTAATATATGTTCGTCTTGAAATTAGTAGGCATATGAAAAATGGCTATTAGATCAATTTTTGTCAAATATTGCCTATCATTTGCTCTATTCTTTTTTTTTAAATAGCGCTTTCCGTTCCCCTTAATAGATTTGAAACTTTCAAATATAAAACTGTCTATCGAACTACTCTTATCACGTAAAGTTATGTTAGTTGAACAGCTGCCAGAAAATACCTTGAATGAATTTCTAAGTCATGGTCGACATAAAAAAAAAAACATTAGAAAAAACAATTTGTATATTTCATAATTTTTAAATATTTCAGCTTTAAATTAACAGGTGATGAAAAATGAACTGTGAATTACCCATATTCCATAAATAGAGAAGTTATTAAATGATAAGTACAATATTATCTAACGCTAAAAATAATTTTAAGCACATATATCCAGGACGAATTTTTCAAAAGTTAAAACATTTTGATAAAGTATTTTTGGCCGAAAACAACTCATTCTATTTCAATCGACTCTTCCTAAGAATACTCCGATGTTAGTTTTGAAAAAATATTTGAATTCTTCATAATAATGATTAGTACTAAGCATAGTGTAAACTTGGCATAACAATAACTAGTATATTATGTTATCACATTTCACAGTGTCTATTACTTTTAGCGTCAATGATGATCGATGAGATATCCACTGATCATATTTTTTTAATACAGCCGGTTCGAAGGCCGATGTCTGACAAAATAATAAGTCAAAACAACAGTCTGATAAAATAATATCGATAGTGATTTAGATAATATTTTTTACACATCCTATAAAATTCTTGTTTTGATTACAAAAAAGGTAAAATTTGATTTATATAATATTATATAAATTTTAAGTATACAATTTATATTTCAAACTTCTCACGAAAAAAGGATGTTAAAAAATATTGTATCAAAAATGATAAAATATTATGATTTTAAAATATTTTTCTACTGCTTAGAACGTTTCAGATTTATCAAAACATTTGCATTTCTTTCTGGTTCTTTAGCTAATTAAATGTATTATATTTTCCAAGCCTGCAACGATCAAAAATTATAAAATTTGTTTATTCTAAACAATACGTTCAATAATCGAAGTTGAACAAAAACAGACATGATGTACAAAAGGAAAAATGTATATTTTTATTTTCTCGTATTCCGTGCTTATAATTTCGTAAAAAAAAAAAAGTATAATTAGTTTTTCTTCACTTTTTTCTTTGGTACGTTTTTTTTGGTACATTTCTTGTACACAGTTTTAAGTATGAAATAAATTACATAAAGTACAGCGAAAATGACGATAGTGATGAACGAAATTACATCAACCAAATAGTATTTCCACCACGGCATTCCAACGGCTGCAGTTCTTAGATGTCTGGCGCCTTTATGTCTTATCACATATTCAGTCCAATACACTGCTGTTTCAGTAGCGTTTAGCTGTCTATCTTTGAATCTCTGCGATAATTTCTTAGCGTTGGTTTGATAACTGCAGCAAAAATAAATAATGTTTTAGCGTACACGATTGAATTCGGCTATTTCTCCGGCGGGCGGCCACAGCCAATTATTAAGTTCAAATTTTAGCAAAAATGAGATTTCAACTAGGTATTTTGGATTTGAGAGAAACTTAATATTGCTAAATTTGTACTTGACTGGTTAGGACCCCCGCCGAAAATGTATATTACTGTAGGTACTGACAATGCCGGCCGACATTGCAACTGACCTGCTGTTGGTGATTATCGTGTTGATGGCATCGGAAAGATACTCTCTTGACAGTAAATCATAGTCTAACAAAATACCAGCGCCTTGACTGACAAGTTTCAATATGTTCCTAGGCTGGTCAAAGAAGAACGGTATGCCTATTACGGGTACGCCCGAGTGTATGGCTTCGTGTACGCCCAGTTGGCCACCGTGGCTCATGAATATACGCACCTTGGGATGATCTAAAAGTGTTGATGAAAACACATGTTATTATTAGACAGAAATGGGTATTATTCAATTAATTTTTATTCGAATAATTATTCAAATAAAAAACGACTGATCCGTTTTATTCATAAGAAATTGTATTCATCGTCCATGATTTGTTTTCATTATTCATTCGGTTACTCGTGAATAATTTAGTTGTTTTCATGAATAAAACAAAAAATTGTAGGTACTCACGATTAAAAAAAATTGTTCAGTATTCATTGAATAATGTTCAATAATAAATAACCAATAATAGTTAGGTACTCATGACTTTTATTATTTACTCGAATTGTCTTTTTTTGCACAACTTATTTATCGTGACTGAACAGTTTTTGAATTACTATAATTGAATACCTACTTATATTTTTAATTGATTATTTATATTTATATTAAGTCATATAATATAACTTCGTGGAAAAAATAACACTTTTTTATTTTATTTGTGAAATTTAGAGCGGGTCTGAAAATTTGTGTAGCATTTTTTAATTTTCTTTTTTAAAAAAAATGTTCATGTTTGTTGTTTTGTAAATTGTTTATAAATTTGCTGATTAATAAGAAATTAGCCAGTTGCGCGGGAAGAAATGTGATTAAGTGTATAGAATTAATGTATAATTTAGATTTTGTTCCAAACTAAATATCAAATTTTGCGATACAGTTTAGAATTGAAGTTTGAACAAGTGTAATATAGAAAACAAAATATAATTTTGTAATTTTCAACTCATTAAATTAAAAAATTGTAATTTGTAATTAGATTTTTTGAACTGTTTTGTAGTTAGTAGTAATAATTAAATTGTATTTTTACTAATTCCTCTATCTCTGGTGATTCCTGATTTTTTAATATGCCTATTGTACTTGTTCAAATAAAAAATATATACTTAGAATATCTCGCTGTGGCATCCATTTACTAATATACAAGTTGTCGGACTTGTTTGGTATGTCTTCTTCAAACTTCCACAAAACACGGATTGGAAGTTTTGCAAACACGTCCAAAAATATTTGTAGTACAGGTTTTGGAATTGTGGATGCACGTATCAATGCGCCGAATGTGAATAACATCACTCCGTTTGGCGAGTCTTCAATAAATTTCAAAATATCCTAATGAAACAAATAATGTCAGTTCCATTTTTTTAATCTCTAAAACTAACCGATTTTCAAATTTACTCGGTAAATATTATCGATCATACTCAAAATAACCCATACCACTGGGTTTTTTGCTAAATCCTCATATAAATTGAGAGGTCACATCATTTTTTATCAATTTATCAATATTGAGTTATATCGAGATTAATTGATAACAGGTAATGATGTGAAAAAAATCTAAATCTTTCCCTCGAATAAAAATAAATTAAATAATCGACATTGGATCATGAACGTGTGTTCGGCCCAACACAATAAGCCGATTCAGTCGATCCCCTAACATCCCCTTTCCCGCCAGCTTCCCCTCCCACCCCCTACGACAAGTGTTTCAACGTCACGCAAATCTTAACTATAACTTACCCACAGAACGTATTCATGTCGAAAACCGTAGTTTAGTCGCGAGTAAACTACAAGACGTACCACGAGTGACTTGGAAGAATCGTAAACGTATCACTTATTTGATTAATATACTTTACCTATCAGGCTAGCTAGGTCCTACCTTGGGTATTGGCCCCGGGGGTTTTAAATGCACACCGCCGATTTCTACCATGTTGGGCACGAGCGGCCGTGGCCCGTCCAGTGAAAAATGCCCGTTTACAAACACCATAGAAGTATTGTAAAGTATATCGTTGATGTACGGAGTGTTAGGCCCGAAGTTTTCCTTCAAGAACTCGTCGGCTGGCCACTCGCTGTAGTATTTCCACGCGATTTTGAAGTATACATAGTAGAAAGTGTTGATCATGCGTTGCTTGAAGTCCATTTTACCAGCTACCCTTGTCACGATAGTGGGTATGTACGACGGATTGTCCGGTCCAGCGACACGGTCGTAACTCCAGGGTAGGTGCGAACTGGACATGACGGACAAAAGTGGCGCCTTAAAATGATATGCGTAACCGACGTCGCAGTCCGACCCGAATATCTCGGTGAATACCTGTAAGATAATGTCGCACACAGTGTTGATGACACATCTCATCAAAAATTATACGAAATGCAAACTGCTCGATGAATAATGTTAAGAGCCGCTGTTTTTATACCACTCACCGCGTCAAATTTGATGTCGCTTTTCAGCAGCGCTTGTACTTGCGGATGTTTTATCGATTCGCGACAAAATTTCAATTGAAGGTCGGCTATAAAAGCTTGGCTGGAGAATACGCTGGACAAGACGTTGCGTACCATATCAATGCTTAAAGAGCTAACCGGTGATGGCATTACTCCGGACAGGTCGATGTCTGTAAAATTAGCGACTGGAGATTTTTGTGGAAATGACGTGATAACAGTGACGTTATGCCCTCGTGCCGCTAGTGCTTTCATCAAGCTCTCGTAGACCACCCAGTGACTACGGCCGTTGATCGGGAACACTCCGAGTATGTTAGCTCCATTGGTTCTGCCCAGCACGCAAGCAGTTACTAACACCAATAGTGCACTGAACAGCTTCATCTATTCAAAAACGATCAAAGTTAAATAATTATAAATCATCGTAGGCGGAGCTAATATATACAGAGCGTTCAGGGTATGTGGCTGCATGCCCTGATAGTACAAGAGGTCTGCACTAACTAAAACATTCTAGCCTATACCGGATTTATGTTTTTTAAGCTAAATTTGTATATCATGGCCCGGTTGTAGGCAGTGGTGTCATTTGGGGGGGGGGGGGCTGGGGCATTTGCCCCACCCTTGATTTTTATGGGCTGGTCAAATTTTCGGAACGTAAGGCAGTAAATTATCTGTTTTTTGTGCAACTATCTACCTTTACTAATAACGAACCGTCTGAACTGACTACCAAGTACGAATAATAAGTATGAAGGTTGATAATATTTGTGTTATTACTGTTTTGTACCTAAGTGTTTTGGAAAAAATATTTATATTTGTAAATGAACATAGGGCCGATACAAATTTTGCCCCACCCTAAGAAAAACTGAAATGTCGCCCCTGGTTGTAGGACTTTTCAAGGGGCGTTCCTGGAGCTATTTCATATCCTGAAATTAACCTTCGTATATGATAAAATATTATGAATACTCGTCATTGACTTTTGTCCCTTAAATTTCAAAATCGTTTTAATTAAATCTTATAAATTAATTATATCCTATTTAAATTATGTTTATAATAATTATTATTGCTAAACAAAATTATTGTCAAAACTCCATTACATGTCAGGAAATTTAAATTTCTAAGTTTACAAATCCACGGTTAGGGAGTAGGAGGACCTAAGCCACTTTTTATTTATTTAAATTTGTTATCTTAAGACATACTGATTTACATCTGACTTACTATTATGGTATCTTAACTAAAAATTTAAATTATCTATGCGAAAGCTAAAAAACCTAATATTAGTGTGTACATTGTATTCCAATTAATAATTATGTACTTTATTTTGATAATATTGATTAAGTTTTTATATCCTATTTTGACAGATATTAACGAAACGTATTACGTAATACATGCATATTTCAATAAAAGTCTCAAAAAACAATTCAAATTAATAAAAAAAAATTTCCCTTCGGCTTGGTATTGATCTAAAACTAATTTCGCTATAGTCAATCATTCGCCCGACCGAATAACAAAAGGTTATTTATAAATAGTTGATTTTATGTTATTTAAACAAATATGTATTTAAATTAGCAGGGGCAAAAAAAAAAGGTCGTAGAGTTATTATCATCAGCTATTAACTGCAATCATAACTTTTGTACAAAATTGCAATGTAAAAATATTTCCTGGAAACTGAAAACAAATTTGTCCTTCAAGCGAGCCTTAGTCATTTTTAAAGTCCTTAATGATAAATGTAATTTATTTTTTAATGAAAACACAAATATAGGATGGTAAATTTGCCTTGTCTATTAAATTTAATAGGCATCGCCTGTAACGGTAACATCATTATTTTTTTTTTAATTTCATAAAAAACCGTATGGTAATCAGTTAAGTATTATATTCGAGGCCAAATTTTAATAGGCAAGACATAGACACAAAAGCAAATAATTATTTTACCTAATATTTTACGTTTAAATTGTATTCGTGTGTTGATTACATATTTTTTAGGTGCATAAAGCGCGCAGTTTTTAAATTATTATTTTTTTAGTATATGTATATAATATTCAGGGCTGTGCCAAGTGCCCAGACGCGCCAAAGGCGCCACAAATTTTAGGGGTGCCAAAAAGATATGAATACATGTTAAATAGGGGCGTCAAATATGATTGCCTTAGGACGTAAATGACAATTAGCACAGCACTGATAATATTATTAACTCAGTTGTTAAAACTATTCGTATTATTATTATTTATACCTACCTAATAACTTATCTTATTTTATTAAATATAGCCTTTGAACTTAAATACAACAACCTTAAACGTTTTAATTAAACTCGCAACATGAAAATGTTCATTTTAATTAGTAAAATTCGTAATAAGTAAATAATATTGATTGTTTATCAAAAGGCAGTTTACATTATACCTAGATCCTAGATAGTAAATATAATCATTCGTGCATGTCGTGAAATAATGCTTATCTTGGAATATTCATTAGAAAAGTTATCAATGTTAAATAGAAAAGTCTGTGTGAATAACGATAGTAATATTTTATATGTATTCATTTTCTTAAAAATAATAAAAAATAATTGTTTTATCTACATTTAAAACACTTTATTCGTTTTTATTGATTACGACAAAACGCTTTAAAGTCCAGAGCGTATAATGGGCTAAGAATAATTTTATAAAAAACTAAATGCACGTTTCAAAATACTAGATCCTTTATTTTTTTTAATGTGTACTTGGTCATTCTTTACTTATTATTTATAAAAATAAAATATTTATCAGTGGCGGGCTGAAAAAGAACATGCTTGAATAAAATTATTATTAGATTTTTCTAAAATAAATAATATTACATCAAAATTAATTGTTAAATTGTAATTTAAATATATTTTTTGTTATTTACCATCCTGACAATAACACAATTTTAAAATGAACTACCTCAAGTTTTAACCTCAACTCTCAGGAAACATATATTACATATATTAACGTCACAAGGTCATCACCCCGTGGGATTCTGATGACCAGTGGACTTTTTGTTCGTTTTTGCTAAATGAGACCCCTAATTTTGTGTTATCATTATAGCTCAAAAATAAAATAAGTAATATTAGCATTTTTTATTTTTTTTTTAATTTTACTTTTAAAAAAGCTTCTTGTTTCAAAGTACCACCGAATCGGGAATAGTTTTAATCGTTTTACTCCTAAACCAATTTCTACAAGAAACCATTATTGAAATTCAATTGTAATGGCATTTTTTTTAGTGATATTTTTTATCATAATGTATTTAATTGTATCATAAGATACCATCTTATAACACAAAATTCATGGAAAATTAGTTAATTAATACATCGAAACTAGCCATCAACTGACGCCTTAAACGATCATTGCAACATCATTCATATTTGCTATGGTATAGCAATTGTTAGCCGTTTGGGACGATTTAAAAATGTAACATTGTCTATTTTATTAATGTACGATAGGCAGACGAAATTCTCCCTTATACTCTTTAGCATATTGCCCAACGGAAGTAACGTCAACATTTGTTAGGTCGACAACATACTTTGGTCCGAATAATATTTTAGTAGATTGTGGTTTAAAACAAAAATAATAATTACTACTTCGTTATTAAAAACAATGTATAAGTGTACTTACATTTAACACGGCAAGTAGGCTGTATACTAGTTGGTAAACGAGGACTATATTATCTCACATAGACTAGCGCGTCGAAAGCTAAGTGTTTGAATCATTTATTAAGTACTTGTTACTATAAAACACATACATTGTTTTATTTTTGTCTGAAATAGTGTTTTATAATGTGCACATTACGCTTCCTTCGGCTGTGTAACAACACGTTCAACTGATACACGAGTGACGAGAGATTGCAGTTGCCGTTTGTCGATCAGAGTCGAGAAGGAGAACGTACATACCACTTCCATTCAAATAGTCGACTGTTAAATAAAAAAAGAATACCCATAATATTGCTGAGACAAGCATTATAAATAAACGTAAACCTGTTGATCCCGGCAATACATATTCCTGGTCATCTTACGTTTAAAATAGTATAGCACAATAAAACATGTATGATAACGATTAACGTCTGCCTATCGTATATTAATAAAATAGACCATGTTAAATTTTTAAATCGTCCCAAACGAATAACAATTGCTATACCATAGCAAATATGAATGATGTTGCAATCGTTTAAGACGTCAGTTGATGGCTAATTTCGATGTATTATATTATGTAAGAAAACTAGTAATTACAGCGTGACTGAAAAAAACGACTAAGATAGAAGGTTAACAAAATAGGCAATTAATATTACTATGTATAATATTATTAATATTATAACGTTTTGTCCAGCATGTACAAATCGCACACCTAGATCAAACCTGTAACAACCTTAAAAAGTGGGCATTTTTAGTTATTTATAATTCGGATTCTACAAACGAAGTTTCATAAGCCAACAAAACTAATTTTAATTTATCTTGATTTTACCTTTTGTAAAAATGCCTAATCCTATAATTCTAAGTTGAGTTTGAGTTGCTACAGTTTTGATCTAGGTGTGCGAAATAATGATTGAACAATTATAAGCGTAAAATGTATACATAATACGTGGTAACTTTACACATTTATATAATTAATGGCTAATATTACACAATCAGTAATCACCGTAGAATACAATTTTAAAATATTTAAGCCTTATTAAGTAACACAATACTTCGGAATAAGAGCTCTACAATTATTTTTCAACTAAATTTATTTGAATTATAAAAACACATTTTGTTATGTTAATTAAGTAAATATTTACAAATATATGAAATTAGATGCTCAGTTTAAGTTTATTAAGTTAAAAAATAATACTTAACGAATTAGCTCAAATAAATTGAAGTAAAGTATATCTGTATAATTATAATACAATGTAACATTGTCTATTTTATTAATGTACGATAGGCAGACGAAATTCTCCCGTATACTCTTTAGCATATTGCCCAACGGAAGTAACGTCAACATTTGTTAGGTCGACAACATACTTTGGTCCGAATAATATTTGAGTAGATTGTGGTTTAAAACAAAAATAATAATTACTACTTCGTTATTAAAAACAATGTATAAGTGTACTTACATTTAACACGGTAAGTAGGCTGTATACTAGTTGGTAAACGAGGACTATATTATCTCACATAGACTAGCGCGTCGAAAGCTAAGTGTTTGAATCATTTATTAAGTACTTGTTACTATAAAACACATACATTGTTTTATTTTTGTCTGAAATAGTGTTTTATAATGTGCACATTACGCTTCCTTCGGAATAAGAGCTCTACAATTATATTTCAACTAAATTTATTTGAATTATAAAAACACATTTTGTTTTGTTAATTAAGTAAATATTTACAAATAGATTGAATTAGATGCTCAGTTTAAGTTTATTAAGTTAAAAAATAATACTTAACGAATTAGCTCAAATAAATTGAAGTAAAGTATATCTGTATAGTTATAATATTATAACTGTTTAACATGTACAATACCATGCATATCGCATATTGCAGTAGGTATTAAATATATAACAACAACCAGGAAATATACTGTCAACAAATTATCTTCAAGGTCTCTGTTTTAAGTACCTATACTTCCTAATACTAATGATTAGTACTAAGCATCGTGTAAACCAGACATAAAAATTTAATTATTTTGATGAACTAATAATATCAGCATTTATACTAGCATGTATTTAGGCGCATTGTAAAGGCAATTTTTCACTAAAACTACATTTAGCTAAAATTATCACACATCTAATATATTACCATAAAAAAGAAGATCTATTTGGATATTTATTTATTTTTTCAATTTGTATAACGCATGTAGGATCTATTTTTGTATAAAAATAAATGATTCTACTTCAAAAGTATTGTTCCTAAGAATACTTCGATTTAAGTTTTGAAAAAAACATTTGAATTCCTCATAACATTTTCAAAGCATTGATTGTGGTACAATTTTTAAAATTATTTTTTGTTAATTATTTTTTTCAGGTTAAAAAGTTAAAAATTGCAGTTTTTTACATTGGAATAATTAATTAACAAAAACTAATTAAAAAATTATACCACACTCAATGCCTTGTAAATGTTATGAAGAATTCAAATATTTTTTCAAACTAAAACCTTAAAGAGTACTCTTAGGAACAGTCGTTTTAAATAGAATGAGTTGTTTTCAACCAAAAATACGTAGGTGTATTAAAGGCCTTTTAATATAATTGAATTGTTCCAAAAAAAAAACATATTTTTTTTAAATAAAATACGCTTACAGTTTATAAACGGTACATGGTTAAAAGCAAAATGCATTTTTTAATTTTTATAGAGCAGTAATAAAAACATTTTTTTGGTATAATTAAAATGATAATTATTGAACTAGTGATTGTTAATTGAAGGGCGCAGGGGAAAAACTGTAGTTGTCACATTATGAAAATATTTGAGTATAGCAAAAACAAAGTTCGTTAATTCCTCTACCTCTTAAATAAGAACAAAAAAAATCACATTAAATGCTACTCTAATAATAAATGTATTTATTTTAACAATCTATTGACATAAATAAAAAAAATTATTGGCATAAATTGAAAAAACTATTGTTTTGCCTCAAATACATATTTATGAAATTTTATTATAATGTTTTAAAATAGCAACTGTAGGATTTTTTAAAATATTTTGATTATAATTTTAACCATTTAATAATACTATTTCTGCACCGAAACTATAAGCTCTAACTGCTCAAAGAGATCTGGATAAAGTGGAGACGGCATTGTGAAGTTAAAGTAATTACAGGACTATAGGAATTAGTGATGAAATCACTCTAAACATTTAAATTCAAGTCTTGAATTATTGTTGACCGTTTAAAAAGAAAGTGTTCTCACAAACTAGCAATTATTAGTTTGCATCAACCAAACAATATGGGAGACACGCCTGGCTGCCGATCTTAATATCACCAGGCGCGATTATTAAGCCAAAATATTTTCGAAGGTCTTACAGTGAATTCATATTTCATATTATCTACTTATAATCCGACACATAAAAATGTACATTCAAGTCCATTTATGTTCCATTAAAACTCCGATGTTGATGAATCCTACATTTGATACGGAGTAATTGAGTTTAAAGTCCGATTGAATAAAGTAAAATGTTTTGCTTCGGTGTTTTTTTAAATAACGGCTTATATGATTTTATAACAATTCTTATATTAATTCTTCTAATTACGAGTATTATTGCATATGGATATTACTTGTATTATTATTATTAATAATCCTGATTCTTATTTTGCCGCGTTGGACAATCAACCAGCAATCGTATTAACTTATTAATTAATTTGGAGTATATTTTTAAATTATATACTACCGAGAAAAATTACTGTAACAATTAAAATATATTTGTACTAATTAAAGACAAAAAATAGGTTAATGGTTAATAAATGTAAAAATGTACGATACGGTTCACAATGCACGCACAGTAAAATAACTTGTTGATGTGCAATTTATCCAAATTGATTTACTAATAAATGCAATACATAAATAAAACCATTATAAAGAACAAATTATAATAAATTACATACTATGAATATGACAATAAATGATTAAGGCCGTTTCTTCGTTTTTACAAAAGTTCAGAATGACTTTCGTCGATGCCGTCGACCATGTCTACAAACGTGAGTGGCAACTGCAGTAGAGGCGGGCTGTCCAATGGATTCTTGGTCCACATTATCCAAACTTTCTTATCAAAGTCGAAAACGCCTAAAATAAAATCGTTAGGATAGATCGTAAAGTATTGAGATAATTAGACATAAAATAAATTACACTAATAAATACATTTTTATTCTAGTAGTTTAATGTATAGAAATTAAAATTGTAGCTTTATAATAATTTACAGTATCAATGACTTCTTTCTATCCAAGCGATACAACAATAGTCCAATATTTGCTAATTAGTTTCTAATTGCCCCCCACTCCTCTATTTAATCCAAAATATTATTATTTTGCTGTTTTTATAATATTATGCAGCACTAAATTAAAACATTTTAAGTATTATTTTTAATATAATTAATAATATTAATTATCGTAGGGGTTGACTGACTCTTTGTGTTAACATTAGTATATAATGTTATTTGAGAGTAAAAACTAAAAGAAATTGTTGCTATTTTGATATGCAATCGCCATGGAGTTATTCTCATACAATACACATTTTCATATTCTTTCATTTTCCAACCGTTCAATAAATATTAATTATTTCTTCATAAAAATGGTTATTATATTATCTATATTATAATGCTAGACCTTAACGACCTATCGCAAAGATAATAAATAAATAATTTTATGGCGGAAATAAATTTGTTGACGGTTGCTAAGTAAACTGTAGTTTGTCATTTTTGAATCACAATCGGTGACAAATCATCGTTTTGTTTTAGTTTTGAAAAGATGTTAGTTTTTAACATGAAAATACGCTATTAGAAGGTTTTTTTTTTTACTACGGTACTTTTTTTTTAATTACCTACTTAATTGAAACCAGAAAATAGACCAGGATGCTAGAAGAAAAAAGGGGACACATAAGTTATTAGCTGAAGATCTAAGCAGGGCATGTAGCGTACATTGACATTTTAGGTATTATTCTTACTTTTTTATTGCATAACTATTAACATCTAACATTATTCTTAATAATTTTTATAATCTCTATTATCAGTAGCAAAGCGTCATAGGAGACTATATTTAATTTAAATATCAAATATTTGTTGACAAATTTTCAATCGTTTTCCCAAAGACATACACTCCTGTTTATTAGGGATTAGGTACAAGCAATTTATTCGCAAAAACTTTGTTTTTACGCTTAAACCAAAGGCATATTTATTGGTATTTATTTATTGGTAGCTCGTTTTTTTATCACAGCATTTTTTTTCTAACCTAAACATAGGTTACGCAGAACCCGTTATGCCTATTTTTTTATGATGAGTTTAGCGCAATAAAAAAATTCGTTATCTCAAGTTTTTCTACTGTATCATAAACAAAACGTTATTTTTTAAATAGCCATAATTTCGTTAATAGGTATAGTTTTTAAAATCCACCACCTTAGAGATCTCTGAAATAGTATATTCATCACTTTTGATCATTAAGTTATTCTAACACAATTCTAAAGTCTATAAAACCCGTGACCACCTATGTTTTTTTCTCTTTCTCTCTCTTCTTTGTGGTTACCGGTCATTAAGACCATACCGCCAAATAAATTGTATTCAATTTCTCCTTATCGACTGCTGTTATCCTCTACTGCAAATCTGGTCCTACTTTTACCTCATCGTGCTTAACAAAATCTTCCCATCGTACACGAAACTGCTTACCGTGATCTTTCTTCGACACCCTTACTAAAGACCCTTGTTCTCTCCTCACGTTACCTGCTCACATGAGTCTTCTCTTTCAAATTTCTTTTAGAATATCTGGCCTTTGAAATAGCTCAATCAATTCATCATTTTGTTTTTTTCTCCATTCTCCTTTTTGATGTCGACATATTCTTTTCTCGGTTTTTCTAAGGGCCATGTTTCAGAGGCATATACAATTATTGGACGTACCAATGTAATCTTATGTTTTTTTTTATTAAAAAAATTGTAGTGCTCTAAAGACTCATGCCACACTATTGTCTATTGACTATTACTAATCATCTAAATACAATTGACGGTGATATCTCATATCTTGCGTGATAAGTGATCTAAGTGGCACTCTGCATATGATTTAAAATTACATTTATTGAAATTTAAATGTAAGTGAATGTATTATTGTCATAATTTTCAGCTTACAGTCAATATTTCAATATTTACTGGTTTGTCGCTTACCCAAATGAACGGTTTTGCCAATGTCGTTTGGCCAATTCAGAAATATACTATTCTTGCCATCGTCCCGGTTGCCCATTATTTCCAACATGTCTCTTAAACTTGTGGCAACTTTGTTTTTGGTTAGTACTTTGTACCGGTTTTCTCTTGACGCGCTGCTGTTGCTTCCGCGTAGTTCCCTCTGACCATCTGACGGCTTTAAATAGAGTAACCTGTAAACAATGATGAATGTTTCATTGGCAAACAAACAAAAATTCTCATGGCCGACTAGATAAAGTTCATTTGCTACAAAGACACTAGGGTATGAAAATCAAGCCTTTTAACTTTTAATTTTTTATGACACGTTTGTTTATGTAATTCATTTTGACACTACGACTAAAAAAACAAACTTTCAGTGAAATTAAAAAAAAAAACCACGTTCCGCCTTTGTCTCCTTGACGTATTCGCCTATTTTGTTCGTTTATTGGCCATAACCCTTTTTAAAAATTTAAACATTCCATATGATCCAAAAGATCCAAGAAACTGGGTTTTAACAGGTTGATTCCCTCATTTAAATACTTTTACCCAGTAACCCAACCTATACGAACAAATCCAAGACTTTGTGTTCACCTGTTCGCGTGCACCGAGTTGTTGCCCAGAGGGAATTCAGTGGGGTAAACCTCGGATTTGGGTTCTCCGTTGTAAGGCATCACTTCGATTGTGTAGAACGTTCGCGAATCTCTGGGCACGTTCAAAAAGGCCAAGTTCACATTGAAAGCATCGGCGGTGCCCACGCCTTTGTTGGTGAGTATTTCTATAATTTCTGCCATGTCGGCCCTCGTCGACAACAACGCTCTGGTGATGAACTCGCGCGCTATAAAAGAATATAAATTATAAGTACAAGTTAAAAGTGTTATAGACTCAGAACACAATTTTTTTTTTTGTGCTAAGCACACCCAAGCGCCTCCCAAATTTCGCCCATGGAACTTAGCACAACTAACGTATGCGGCCCCTGAGTGGATTGTCTGTGCACAGCGTATTGATCGAGAACACGACACCGTGATAATTGTGCCCGCTGGCGTATCCCGGCAAATGTCCTGCATAAGCCAACGCTTCGAATTTCTCCTCCCTGGCTTTGAATATGCCACCGGATTCGTCCTCACTGGGTACTATGTGAGCTGCTACAATGTAATAATGGTCCTCGGTCGCGGCCATCGCGTCTTCCGTGTGTCCCAAAAACTGAAAAATAAAACGTTTTTACAGACTGCTGAGTAATTTATTGATTCGCCGACGTGAATCTAAATCTTACGATAATCCAAGTCAAAATTAAATATCAAACTTTTAATTTTTAAATAATATTTAAAAGATGCTTTCCACTGATTATTGGAAAAATTGAAATTCAGTACTTTTTCATTTGAAAACATTTCGCTTTGTATTATTTAAGAAATTTCAAAAATATTTATTTCTTTTGGTATTTTATTCGAAGAGCTAAAAATATTTGGAGCACAATGTGTGCACAGGGTGATCAGCTTAACGTAAGACACTCGTTGTCTCTTAAAATAATTGTAACTTTGTAGTTTTTATTTTTGGGGACAATTTAGTTTATGTTATTTTGTAATTTTCGACAATATTAAAACTGTTATCTTTTTCCAGAGCTTTATCAACTTTAAAAACTTAAACGGGAACGTATATATTTAATTCAAATTTTAAATTAAAAATAATTTGCTGAAAATTGACTGGTTAACTGGTCGATAACCAGTGTTAGTTCATTGCTTTTAAATGTATAAAAGTTTAGGGCGGGAGGTGGACAACGGTACATGAAATCGATTATTCAACAGGAAAAATTAAACCAACCAATCAATGTCACAGCCTCTGTCCAAACAAATGAAAATTTCAGGTGCAAAATAGAAAGAAAATATGAAAAGAATTTAAAAAAAAGCACAACGTACAAAGAAAAAGCTACATGACACGCACACTCCACTGGTCGAGATAACTGGTTTCAAGGAAGCGGGAGATGGATTCTGCAATGAGTTAGAAACGTCAGCATAAAACTGAAGGCACAATATCCAAAATTGGTTATCGACCAGTCAAAATGTTCAGCAAATTATTCTTAATTTAATAAGTTAATTAAGTATATTATACCTTACCATTTAAACTTTAAAAGTTGATAAAAAATAAAAAAAGATATAATTTAGATTATTGTTCAATAAAGTAAAAAAACACAAATAAAAGTATTTTTCAAAAAGAAAAACTACAAAATTGGGTCATTCCACGTGAAATATTTTCTTGAAATATGGTTAAAGTACACTTAATTAGAATTTTAACTGTTCAGGTTTCATGTCTATACCACTATCGACAGTTAAATTACAGAGTCGGGAACATGAGGTGTTTTTGGATGCTTTTTTTTTTTAATTAACCTACCTAGGTCCAAAAAAAAATGTTTTAAAATTTTTGTTGTTGTTAAGGACCTATAAAGAATGTATGATAAAAATGTCAAACATTTTTTAATTATAGTCGCATACCCATTAGGCGATTTCACGTGGAATGATCCTTCGGCCATCTAAAAATTTAGTTGGGTCAATTATTTATTTAGTTTTTTCAGCTAGAAATTAATATTGTGTTTATTTTTTTCCGTGTACATTTATAATTATTATCTTTTCGGTTTAATATAGAAATAATAATTCTCGGCTTACCTGTCCATTAGGTTGGTTAATCATGAGCGAAGTACATCCGACGGGTCCTTTTTCTATCGGTCCTTTTTTTAAATTTACCGGCAACGTGTCGTCCAAAGCCATCAGAAATAGCTATAAACAAACATACACTGATAGTTTATTGGGGTTTTCAAATTAAAATCTTTAGACTCAAAACGCACCTCTTCAAAAGAGACCTGTGCGCCGTCAGCTACGCCTTGCAGCTCGATCACATACTGTGGAAAGTACATTTTTGTCGAATTCAAGCTTTCTTCGTAAATGGCTCGACCTTCCGGTTCGGCAATCATTTTTAAATAATCATCTTGCAACGGCGTATAAGCCTTTAGAAATTCTTTTATCATTTGTCCATTAGTCCGCCCCTAAACAGTAAAAACATAAAAAAACATAACCCTATATTATAATTAGTTGTGTGTGTAAAAAAGCCCCGACTTTGACCTCTTATTTACCTAACTGAATTTGGTTGCAAATGCGTAACGGGTAAATTAAGGGAAACCCTAGATAAAATGTTAACAGTTATGACATATATGTTACAAACTCATTCGCCGATATATTTCGCAATTTCAATGCTTCTCCAATTTATATTTATATATCTTTATATATATATATTTCTTCTGTCCGTGTGTAAGTATTCAAACTCCTCCTAAGCGGCTGGTATATATACGGTAAATTTTTTACATGTTTTTCTCAATTTTGGTGGGGAAGGGGTAACTTTTTAAAATTTTTTGCTTACTAAAGTACCTTTCAGGTGTGATTTCTAATCTATAGAGTTGCTACACGAAGAAATCGGTTCAGCGGTTTACGAGATGTCGTGGGTCCAGACAAAAAAATAATAATAACACATCATTGTAAAAACAATACATTCTCAGCTACACATCGAAGCTAATCACCAAAATAAAATGCTGCAATTAGGTATATATACTGTATATTAGTTGCTACAGCAAAAATCATTGTAACAATATTACAGTGTTAAGAGGAATGGGAATATTTTTATAATTGTTAATAATATACTATAACCTTTATTAGTAGCTATTCAAATGATTGTGTGTTTTATCTATAGATTTTGATTTACGTATTTAGTTAATTAAAAGTAGTGATTGTCTATAATTGGTGGTCTAAAGTTGATAAAAATACACACAAAAAATAGGAAAAACATAGATCAAATATAATATTATTACGCTTGCATTTTATTCTACAAGCAAGTAGTATGCCAAGCGTGTCATCTTGTTCACACTTTGCCGTGCGTCTCGTTGACATGCTATCCCGTATAACAGGGAAAGAGCAATGGAGTTATTCTAAACGTTTTTCTATCTAAATTAAGAGTCCTCGAGTGTTGGGGAAAACCGGACCGGAAAACTTATAGGACGACCATTGGATCTCTAAAGAGCAATATGAGGTCTATCTAAGTATTCAGGCATTCTCTGGATTCCACAGGTATTCCTAGGTAGTAGTTTTTCTGTAAGGACTCCCTTTTCTATCCCTTCTCTCGCTTGTGCATCTTTAGGGAAATCCTAAATGCTACTCGTGGCCTCATTACGGGGACTGTTCTTAAACGTCTCTTATACTCGTGATTTTTTTTTAATGTAATTTTACTTACCACGCTGTATCCGACTTCGTAATGAGTGCCGTTCACGTAGACGACTGGTATGGAATTGCGAACTGGACGTTTTTCGTCGCATGACTCTGCAATCGACATGTTCACAGCGTTATAGTTTTTAGACTTTTTGTTTTAAACAAGACAAATAATAATCGTACTTCTTTTTAAAACGGACGACTTAAGCACTATTTGTTTTGTATACTAAAAAACGTCAGCGAGGACCCACGAAAACACTATATGGTGGCCTCGATATGTTCTAAGACGAAAATTGCAACCGTACCGATAATAAAAAGTTCAGTTACCTATATAATTGAGTACATTGTCATTATAATCAGTATTTTAATCAGCTGCTATGTAAACGCGTTGTCTCGCGCGTGCGCCTAGTTTAACAACATGTTCGGCACAGCACGACTGCTAAAAACATATTATATTTAACATTTTTTTTTTTCTAGTATTATAATATCATATTTCCCCCGTAAGACCGTCATTGTCTGCTGTTGGGAGTGTTGCTGCGAGCTCATTAGTAAACGTTCAAACATAACCATAAGTATAAAACAAATTATTATACATGATATTTTCCACTAAAAATGAATCACGATTTACTTTTGGCCACCGGATGTCATAACTAAAAGTCTACAAATTAACCGATAACGTTATTTCAGTGTACACAACAATAGTTCCATTATTATGTTAAATTCATAAAAACAAATTATATAAACAAATCTAAAAATTGAGGAGGGAAACTTGATATGTTGGCTCTGTGCAAGCTCAAAATGGCTGATTTATACATTTTTGAATTTTTCGTACACAAGCAATTTAACGTTGTTTCCATATTTTTCAGATTTTTTTTTACACCTTTCGAAAATATTTAAACTAAGCTTCGTTAATCCCGTGTTATTTAAATGGAAAACTTCACCGTCTTACATACATGGACAAAAATATTGAATTAGAGCCGTGAAACTTTTAGGGTTTTTTTTTCTCACTAGAGCAGTCCTTCGGCGCATAACAAGTTGAAAAAGTCAAAAATAAGGATCACCTTAGTATATATAGTAATATTTATAAATTGTAAAGTATTTACCATATTTTGTCGTACTCGCTAAGATCAGGTAGACAAAAATTACAGTTAAACTGCAACAAAAAAGCAATGACAAAAATAAAGAAATTTGCAATGGAGTCATGGTCTGCGGATATCGTTTCGGATATACATAATAGTGTAATATGTATTAGTACTGGGAAATACTACACTCCAACTTTCCTCCCGTCTTAAATTTTAAACTTTAACTTTTTAAGTAGGTTTTAAGTTGATAAGTTATGGAAAATATTAAAAAAAGTAGACATTTAGCAATTTTATCATTTTTTTAAAAACCTTATACAAAAATGTGTTCAACTAGAAAAATACACAATTCCAATTATTTAAAAAAAAAACGAGTGTCTTATCTTTAATGAATCGCCCTGTATTTAGTTGTCAACGCGATTAAGTTATCTACACTCCATCTTAACTTTATCTTAAGTAACATTAAAAATAACTATCTAAGATTTGTTATGAGTGGCTTGCTATTATCTTATTAGGCATTAGCTAAAAATTTTTGAAAACAATTTCATTTACATGTATATTTTTATTTTATTAAACACATTTTCTAAATAAAACTATTGGTTCGTTGTTCTGTCTTGTATCTCTATAAAAATAAATAACCTTTACTGAAGCAATACACATTTTTTTTGGGAAAAAAATAAAAACTATTTTATTTACTGATAGACTTATATAAGATCTTTAATACTTAATCGTAATTTGTAATTAAAAAAAAAATGTTAGGTTGTTTTCAATTAATACTCTTGTATTGTGTTAAAATTTATTTGGCTTACGTAAAACATTTTCTGTACACTTTGACTTTTTGTGGGTGTTATACAATGTTAATAAAACTTTAATTGATTCAAATTGAGAAACTTGTGCTACTACTGAACCAAATTTAACTAAAAATAAGCAGAACAAAAACAAAAATAAGTGGCAGTGTTTTCCCTGCCGTTATGTATAAAACGGAACAATTTTTACAGGTATATATTTCTGTGTTTTGATCCCAGTTTAAAATGGTGGGAGTACAACACATATTTCAAAGTACGTTATATTCTTTATTTTTTAAGGAGTTAAATATAGACAATTTTTTACAAGATCTTATATTTAAGGTTTGAAAAAAAAATGTAAAAAAAAAGTTATAGTGATTTTAAAGAAATAAAAAACTGTGATTTCAAATGTTAAATATTAAGTTACATACTAGGTTAGGTTTATCGAAAAAAGGATATGACATAATCTCCAAATTCTTATCATCTTTTGATTTCGTTATAACTTATAAGTATATTGTTTGCCCTAAAATCATCACGGAGTGAATAATACCCATTCTGTGTAGGTATGTTTTGAGGCTAGAAAACTGAGCGTATAACATCCTCTTAACTATTCAGATTTGTTCAATATATTACATTATACATTTTTAAAAATCAAGAAAATAATATATACCCACCGAAATACGTCGTATACGCGGAGAGTATATAATTTTTATGGTTAAGGGTTTTTCATATTATTTTAAGTAATATATAATTTAATATTAACGGTAATAATGAAAATATGTAGAGGTGTTCAAACAAATGACCAGTTATACAATATTATTGAATGAGATTTTTATTAAAAGCATACAAGTAATAAGATAAATTATAAAAGTAATGGCAAAAGTATTTTTATGTAGAATTATATTATAATATACATTATATTTATACTAGAAATATATTATAATTATAATTTATATATAAATCAATAAAGTACTTAAACAATAATGACAGCTTAAAAAATAATGACTGAGTAGTTTTTAACAAATAAGGTAAACGCATGGCTTGTATGTTAATTTTCAAATACATTAGCATATTATGACCAAAAGTTTTTAATAGTAATCTAAAAACTATTTAATAATAGTATATATTAATAGTATTATAATAAAAATGTAATATTATTTGCTTTATTTGTTAGCTACTATATCATAATATGGCCCTATTATAAGTTCCCTTATTTCTACCGCCGAGATAGCATTATCGTCTTCGAATATACTGACACTAAAATCTATCCACGCAGGTTACATGAAGTTTCTAACTAAAAACAAATAAAACAAATATTTAACATTAAACCAGTTACGTATTGTGGCCAACTTAATATTTTATTTTTAAATATATAAAACAAAAATGTAAGCGGTATAATAATTGGCTTTACTAAATTAATAAATCTACTTTCCCAATATTTGTATTTTATTTTAATAAGTAAATCATAAAGAAACAAATGGTTTTTTATGACTGCATTAATTATCGTACTAAAAGAAGTACCTATTACCTACGGTTATAAAAAAAAAAAAGCTTTTTTATAACAAGTGATGGAACGAATTGAACGAACAATTTTATTTTTTAGTTCAGGATTAAAATATAAATTTTAAATTTAACGCATTCCAAACTACGCGTCAAGTCAGTAAAACGTTTTGGATTAATTTTATCAATAGTTAAAATAATCAAAATTAATATATAATATTATATCAGTATCTCGTACTTAAAGGCTTAAGTTGTTTTTACTAGAACCATTATACTAAATTAAAATAGATTAAAATAATTTAAGTCTTCGTCATTCATTATCAGAATCGCCATGAATGGTAAGAATACTTAATTTTTCTATTTTAACATCACAATTTATAAATAATAAATTATACTTTTTTTTTTTTACAGGTTTTTTTAATGCATGCCCGCTTGGACGTTATAATTCAATAAATCAAATTAAAAAAACAATTAAGATAAATGCAATTTAATCACTAGGACTGAAATGAGTTCAATATTTTATTCTTTACCGATAATTACTTCGCATTCAATTTCTTCCATTAGTGATTCGGCGTCCTAAGCAAAGTATTTTATATTAAGACATAATATTTTGATCATTTATAATATATATACTTCATACCATTCGGTTATATACGACTTCTTCGGCATCTTCGTTTTCCAATGTTTCCATATCCTCATCGAAACTGAAATAAAATGAAATATTATCATTGATGTAAACCATAATAATGTCATTGACTTGTACCATAAATCGATCACTTCTATTACAGAAGGTCTTGCCGGTGTAACGTTTCGGCGAGAAGAATATGAGTATTTCTAAAAAAAAAAAAAAAATCATTAGCGATTTACACTTCAATACTATTGTAAACTGATAAGGTATTTAGTTGTACCGGTACGTCCACGCTATATTCAACTGTGGGCACGGCATATGGATTTAACCAGAGAACATTATTGTGAATAAAAAAGTCAGACTTAATAAAATGCTTTTCACAGATTCGGCAACTTCCATTTGGTTTCCATGCCTGTCCCCTCTTTGTAGCCGCGACCCAAAATGGAAACGTTCTACTATTTCGTTTTGGAAATCTAATTAATGTAAAACACAAACTAGAGTTGTAATAGTTTTTTTAATTACTACTTTAGATTTAAATAGTATAATAATAATAATAATAATAAATAACTCTGTGGGTGTACGGCCATTGGCCTCTACACTAGCATTTATTAAGGCGCATTGTGTAGGCAATTTTTCACTAAAACTTAACATTTAACTAAAATGATTAAACATATAATATATTACCATAAAAAAGAAGTCTATTTTTTGTTCAATTTTTTTTTTTCAATTTTTTATAACGCATGTAGAATCATTTTTGTACAAAGACATATGTTTCTACTTCAAACCTTCTGTTCCCAAGAATACTTAAATTTAAGTTTTGAAAAAAAACATTTGAATTCTTCATAACATTTTTAAGGCATTAAACGTGGCACAATTTTAAAATTAGTTTTTGTTGATTAATTATTCCAATGTAAAAAACTGCAATTTTTAACTTTTTCAAACTGTAATAATTAGTTAACAAAAAATAATTTTAAAATTATGCCACGATCAATGCCTTAACAATGTTATAAAAAATCCAAATGTTTTTTCAAAACTTAAATCAGAGTTTTCTTAGTAACAGTACGTTTGAAATAGAACGGATTGTTGTTGACCAAAAGTATGCAGGTGTAGAAGTGCCTTAAGGAGATTTGAAAGTGCTGCTATTATTAACGGTCAAATGCTAAGCAATATTCAACAAAAATAATCTAATATCCATTTTATATGTGCCTTAATTTTAAGGTGAACAAATATTAATTTGTTTCTACTTATAAAACTTTTGAAGTTATTTTTCTTTAAATTATGCCAAAAGTTTAAAAATTATTTTTTTTAATTTTCATTTCATCATACCGATCAATGCGATTTTGATAGTGAACACTGTTTTGAACATCTTGATATGTTTACTTTGGATTCTACGACCAGCCTTTTCTAGTTATTTA